TGCGCGCAGCACACGCGGTTTCCGCATTTAGACACGGTTTTTTAATTAATTTTTTACGGCTTATTTTTCGAGTTTTTTCAAAATTTTAAAATTTATTCCTACACTATGAAAGGTGTAGAATTTAATGGTAAAGTCCATTTTCCATGAAAATGAATTTTGATTATTAATTTTTTTTCCACTTATTTTTCAATTAATTGTTTGCATGCATGTATGTACCTTATTTTTTATGCTTTTTTCAAATTTTAAAATTATTTCCTAGGTTTCAATGTGTGTAGAATTTAATGGTGCAATCCAATTTTTTTAAAACTCAACGGTTCATTTTTAATACTGAAATTAGACCCATTTTTTCACTTAATTTTTTACAGCTTAATTCTCATCATTTTTGACATTTTAAATTTATTTCCCACACTTGAAGACATGTAGAAAATGATGGTAACAACCATTTTTCCCAAAAATGAAAAATACATCTTGAATACTGCATTTGACACTGTTTTTTAATTGAATTCTTCACTTTTTCACTCAATTGTTTACATACACGTGTGTACCTTATTTTCTATGCTTTTTTGGAATTTTAAAGTTGTTTCCTACATTTAAAAGTGTGTAAAATTTAATGGTAACATTCAATTACCATAAAACTCAACGGTTCATTCTGGATACTGTAATTAGTCATATTTTTCAATTGATTTTTAAGAGCTTAATTTTCATTATTTTTTGACATTTTAAATTTGTTTCCTACACTTTAATACATGATAAAAATGATGGTAACAACCATTTTACTTAAAAATCAGCGCTTGTTACTGAATACTGCAGTGGACAGGCTTTTTTTAATGTTTTTTTTGATTGATTTTTACCGGCCTGATTTTAAGCATTTTTTTTTATTTTAAATTTATTTCCTACATTTACAAATGTTTAGAATTGAATGGTGAAGTCCAATTTCACTCAAAATACAAGCTTCAATCTTAATAGATGAGCGTACCCTGTTTCTTGCATAATTTGTACCATGAACAAATTTTATTTGAATTCAAAATGGATACAGCCATCAATTTTGAAACCTTTAAAAGTGTAGGAAATGAGCTTGAAATTCCAAAAAATAAGGATAATTGAGCGTGTAAGAATTAATTCAGGAAACACGTCAAAGGCATTATTCAAGATATAGTTTTCATTTTGATGAAAATTCATTGTTACCATAATTTTATACATGTTTGAAAGTGTAGGAAAAAAAAATTAAAATGTCAAAAAATAATGAAAATTAAGCTCTTAAAAATCAATTGAAAAATATGACTAATTACAGTATCCAGAATGAACCGTTGAGTTTTATGGGAATTGAATGTTACCATTAAATTTTACACACTTTTAAATGTAGGAAACAACTTTAAAATTTCAAAAAAGCATAGAAAATAAGGTACACACATGTATGCAAACAATTAAGTGAAAAAGTGATGAATTAATTAAAAAAAAACGTGCCAAATGCGACATTCAAGGTATAGTTTTCATTTTGGGGAAAAATGGTTGTTACCATCATTTTCTACATGTCTTAAAGTCTGGGAAATAAATTTAAAATGTCAAAAAATGATGAGAATTAAGCTGTAAAAAATTAAGTGAAAAAATGGGTCTAATTTCAGTATTAAAAATGAACCGTTGAGTTTTAAAAAAATTGGATTGCACCATTAAATTCTACACACATTGAAACCTAGGAAATAATTTTAAAATTTCAAAAAAGCATAAAAAGTAAGGTACATACATCCATGCAAACAATTAATTGAAAAATAAGTGGAAAAAAAAAATTAATAATCAAAATTCATTTTTATGGAAAATGGACTTTACCATTAAATTCTACACCTTTCATAGTGTAGGAATAAATTTTAAAATTTCGAAAAAACTCGAAAAATAAGCCGTAAAAAATTAATTAAAAAACCGCGTCTAAATGCGGAAACCGCGTGTGCTGCGCGCAGCCAAAACCGCGTCAAAACGCGGAAAAACTGTGTTTTTTCATTAAGGCCCTTTTTCATTTATAATCATTCTTCCCATGTCCCATTCTTTCTTTCTTACAGCACTCCCACTCTGCCAAAATGAATATCGAATCTTTTCAAAAAAAAATATCTTATCTTCTATTTTTCACCCAATTTTGGAACTCTTACTTTCTTTTTTGACATATTCATTTTTGAGACCTTACATTCTGGACCAGTTGACCAAGTCTCATGACTTCAAGTATGTGTTTTGGAGCCCTGGAATCTGAACATCAGCAGCCACTTTTGTCACTGTCTGCCCATTGTAGCACATTTGGGATAAATGATATTGTTGTCAACAAGTAGTTTTGTGATGCATGCACAACTTTAAAAGCATCTGTGATTTTATACATCTTGACTCTGAGGCCTACTATTCTTGGTCAATTTCTTAGGTGGATGTTGTTCTTCTTGTTCTATCCAGATTGATATATGCAAACAACTTTGTTAATGCATTTGTAGGTAGGCTATTCCACCTAGCTGTGCACAAGGAACTGGGATCATTGGTTTCAGTTTCCCCCTTTTTTTGTCCTGACCTGGACCTGGTCCAACAAGAATCCCTCAGAATCCCCTATCAGGCTCTCCACAAATTGGCATCTTCTTAGACTGCAGTAGTTTGAACAGTGGGAGACAGACTCACAGCTGCTGCAATGCATTTACCTTGGAACTGAGCTTGATGGCAATGTCATACATAGTGCTGCACAAAAACCACGATGCATGTTTCTATGTAAGGCCAGTGGTTATGAACCCAGTTGAGGAGGCTGAATGCAAGCCAGTTGCACGGGGGAGCACTGAGCTGACTGTAGACTTGAGACGCATGTACCAGCTGGACAAGGTGTAGACTTCAGACTACTGTGGCCTTGAATCGGTTGAACTGGTTACCCTCGGTTGAGCTTTCTGCAATTAGCTTGCATTGACGTATGTATCCGGAGTTTCCGGCCAGGCCACAGCTCGGGAGGACGACCCGATCATATGTAGTTCGCAGAAATGTGCTGATTTGTGGCTCTTGTGGATGGGTTATCAAATTCCGATGTGGTGGTCTGAGAGTCTCTTGGGAGCTCCTACCCAATCGAGGGTGTTTGTTAAGGGTTGTGTTGTGTGCCGAGTCTGGACTGTTGTTTGTTGTTGGGTTTTCCTTTTTTTTTTTTTTTTTTTTTTTTTTTTTTTAATTTGGTTTCTGTCTTCAACAGTCTTGCAGCTTGTTCTTGCTCTTGTCCAATCGAAAATAACTTATTCCCAACATCCCACTCACTCACTCCACTCTGCTGCACACATCCAAGAACGATGTCTGGAAGAACCAGAAGCAACGAAGAACACCTGAAACTCCAGGACGAACTAACCACGCCGACTACGGCCAACTACCAACACCAACAACCCACCACCCACCAAGCAGCACAACCAACCACCGACAGGAACACACTAGGAACCTCAACATCCTACTCATCCATCTCCAGTACTACTCATCTCCCACCACCAGAATACTTGACCGGATCGCAATGGCAAATCTCTCACCAACCAAACGATCTCGCCCAACAACAACAACAACTCGGCACAGACTATCACCCAATCCCTCCTCATCCACTCACCCGGAACCAACGGGTCAGAGCCTCACTCGAAATCGAAGTCATACCATCCACTGCCGCCCCCACCCCTTGTGAACCTCAACACCCCCACCAGGGACTTCACAACTCACCAGACCAGAAGCACCCCGGCCATCCTGTCAATCAAGCCGACCCTACCGCTCACGACAGATCCAATCAACCCTACCAGTACTACAACGAGCCTCAGGAATTCAAACCCTATCCAGCCGAGCTACATCCAGACCATCACAGTGAGACAGATGCAGAGGGTCAAAGTTATGATGACTGTAGGTCTACCACTGTCTATCTGCCTCTTTTGTTCACTTTACCGGAAGCATATCTATCTCTCTTTCTCATTTTGGCTTAAAACCTCCCTTCCTTCTTTAATTTAACAGATGATTGGGATAATGACGATGACCTCGAGGGCGACGTCCGGTTTGCTGACCTCAACGACGATAAGGATGCTGGCCATCATCATCGTCGTCGCACCTTGGCCCGCCGATTCTCTCCCTACAGTATCGTCAAAGGTCAGTCCTTGTCATCATCTTCAAGACTTTTTTTTTACATGACCAAACATGAACTTATTTTTTTTTTCACTCTTAAATTGACAACAACAACCACTAGTTTTAATCACCACTTTTATCGGCAACATCATATTGAGCTTGATGTTCATCATCCCACCGCTTGTCCTCAGGTCAGTCTGATTCCCTCAACCCGAAAGATTGATTGTTGAAGTAGTTCATGCCGACTGACCTCCTGACTAATCTGAATGTTGGTTCAGGTACACCGGTTACTACCAGTCTGGGGACACTCCGTCGGCAGCTACTACTAGATATATCTACGACAATGTGGCTGCGTGGCTGTTCTGGGGGAGCTACAACATCCTGGCGAGCTGGGTACTCAACTTCATGACTGAATTGATCCCTAGGGTATGTCGTCGTCTCATTTTTGTTCAGTCTATCTAGAGCTTCTGAGGATTGATGACCCAGGTGCCACGCTTCATACAGGTCATAGTCTTATTGGTGGGTATAGTTTGGGGTGATGTTAATGAAACAATTAAGGGAAGAGTAGAGACCTTTCATACAGCCAAACCGTGGATCAAAGTGATCTTTTACTCTGCGATGTGGTATGCTCTCCCTTTTATTTCAATTCGCTCAATGTGATATCCTCTTACTCACATGGATATGGTTTTTGGATTGCTTCTACGCAGTTGGGGTTCCTGGGAAGTGATCTTCAATGGAATTTATCACCTCTACGCCCTCACGGAAAACGGACAATATCGCGCTCCGTACACTGAAACAATTCACATCATTGTTGAATTATTATTCTTTTTTATGCTTATACTTTCATTGGAAAAGTTACTGTTATTAACCATTGTAAGCCTTTTCTCATTTTTGATTTCCAACCACAAGAAAAAGCTATAAATCTGACTCGGCCGGTATGCAACAGAGTATGAATTTCCATCAAGTGGCCTATGCGGATCGAATCCAGAAAATCACTCGAACCTTTGCGGTAATTGATGCGCTGAAGGATTACCGACCGAAACGGAAATCATTTCCTATGATACCCAATAGCCGTCGACCTTCTGGCGCGATTTTAACGATGAAAGGACTTGCGAGTAAAAAAGCGTCCCCAGAGCCGGTAACCAAGAGCAAATGGTGGTCACGAAAACCTAACCCGACGCAGGAGATGCAGGACAAGGAGAAAGCTGCGATTGTAGATCCTCGCGGGGGCGATTACGAAGCCCAGATGCACCAGACCGAACGGTTCAATGCTGACTATCACAAGGGATCGCCCCCACAGGAAAGTAAAGGTCCAGCAAAACTGATGCGCCGGAATTCGCAAACAACCTTTGCAACATTGGCTCAGCGTGGTGCTTCGGCAGCCAAGATTGCCCGTGCTGCGATGAAAGACCCAGTGTCGGTGGTCGGCAAGAAGTCTGGATTGAAGCTGGATGTCAACAACCCCGCGGATGCAAGGAAGCTAGCTCGGAAGATCTACTTCGGCTTCAAGGCGGACTCGACTCGGACCTACTTGATCCCCTCAGACTTCTATCCGGCCTTCCCGACCCACGAGCTCGCCAGGGAGGCCTTCTCAATCTTCGACTCGGATGGGAACGGAGATATCAGTCGGACGGAGGTAAAGAACGAGATCTTTCGCGCCTACAAGGAGCGTCGTGCGTTGGCGAACTCCTTGCAGGACGTCGGTCATGCCATCGGTAGATTGGATAGGATTATGATGGCCATGGCAGGAATCGTCTTTATCTTCATCGCCCTGTCTGTCGTCGGGATCGACTACTCGAAGGCATTGACTTCGGTGTACACTGTGGGCATCGCCGCTGCATTTATATTCAAGGAAACCGCAGGGAACGTGTTTGATGCGATCATCATGGTTTTTTGTACCCACCCATACGACACTGGCGATCGAGTGATCATGGATAACGACGGGGTTGACGAAGTCCTCGTGGTCAAGCGGATGGGACTCCTGGTGACCGTTTTCCTACGATGGGATGGGACCGAGTGGTTTGCGCCGAACTCCTTATTAGGACAGAAGTTCATCATCAACCTCCGTCGAAGTTCGAACCAGTTCGAGAATGCGACGGTCCAGTTTGGCTGGGATACGCCCCTGGAGAAGCTGGACGAGCTGGAGGAGAAGATGAATCTGTGGCTGCAGACGGACGAGCAGCGTCGATTTGAGCCGGGCACAGCTTGTGTGATCCAGTCGCTGGTCAACCAACAGTACATGGAGGTGACGATCGGGATGACGCACAGGGAGAACTGGCAGGACTGGGGTGGTAGATGGAACCGTCGGACGGCGTTTCATGCCGCCCTCAATCACTACTCCCGCGAGCTCGGCATCAGCTTCTATAACGCCGAACAACCCGTCCAGTTCAGCAACCTTGATGCATTCAAGGACCAGCTCTTTAACCCATCTTCCTCTAACAACAACAACGACAACGAGGAGGAAGAAGAGGAGGACAACAATGACGAGGAGTTTGGAGACGACGAACTCGAGCCCGACGAGCGTGCCCAAAACCCTCCGCCTACCAGCTACTTCCCTAACTTCCCCGACAGCTCGCCGGTCCTTAATAAGAAACAAGCACAGTCGGTCTTCACCTCGGCTACCGAACGCATGCCCGAGGCGCTTGGGTTCTCGGCCCCGCTTGAATCCGGCACCGGCATGCGCAAACGCAAGAAACTCTCAAAGAAGAAAGCTATGTTGGGCGACGCTTAAATTCGTCCTTTCGTATCCCTCGGTCTCGCCGTTTTTCTCGTCTCTCTCCCTTATTGTCACTCTTTTTAAGCATCGTCACATCATCGCTTTGCCCCCCCCCCCCCCCCCCCTTGGGGGTGTGTAAGTGTGTCGGAGTGTGTAGACATGTTCGTCTATTTTCCATTCAAGAATGCGTTTCGTTCTTAATTATCTCCCCATAAAATCGACACATTCTTAACTCTTACATCCTTGTATAGACATATTTTCTTTTCTTTGATATTAGAGAAGCCATTTTTGTTCTTTTCCGTCGCTCGGATCGGTCGGGATTATTATGATGGACCTTGTTAATCTACGTATTCATAGATTTCTTTTTTTTTCTCTATTTGTTTGTCTTGAGCATCAAGTCGTTGACTACATAGCTTTCTTTCTTTCTTTGTTCCTCGTTTTTCTTTCTTTTTTTTTTCGTGGTGGTGCATAGCTTGTTTATTCCAAGATGTTTCTTTCTTTTTTTATTATTCTTCGTTGTACACATATCACTGGATTGGAGTTGGAATGGATAATCTATGGAACTCATATACATCAGATCTTGACCAAATATGAAGGATTCCTTCTCGTTGAACAGATGAGTTTGGCTCCCCAGTTTGACTCATATGTATGATTTATTACCAAGCTTTGAGGTCTTCGTCGGTTACTTGTTTACGACTTAAGCGATGGGGTCTTCATTTGAAGGTTTGACAGACGAAGAGTATGATGTATGATCTGTAAATACAAAAAAACAGCAGCAGTTGGCTGCTGGTGGAGAACACCAACATACATACACACTTCAACCGAGAGTGCAGCTCAACAAAGCTGAGTGGCCATCGACCGAGCAAATGACCACCACCCACCGACTAACCACGAGGCTCCGTTCCGAAGTCGCACGAGCCTTGACCGGCCGGTCTGCTCGTCCACTGGAAGCGCGAGGCCCGCGAGTGAGCAGCCGTCCCGTCCGGCCGGCCGGCCGATCCGACTGTCAAGCTTACTCCAACTCGAGCTCCTCGTCCGCCAGCCAACAGGCCTCGTCTTCTTCTTCTTCCGGCACCTCCTCAGCCTGGTCCGATGGCGTCGCTGCTCAGGCTATCTTCGGCTCCTTGGGTGGCGTCTTGATCCTCGGATTCGGTGGGTCAGTCTATGAAAAAACACACACTCCAGCTCTGTTTCTTTCGTTGGTCTTATCTGAGCCGGCTCAACTAATCATAATCGACTCCCCTTCCCTTCCTCACAAAAACGTGCCCTCTCGATCCAGATATCTGTATCACACTTGGTGGGTCGCCAAACATACGCTCCCTCCGTTACTCTCTCTCTCTCGCTCTCTGTCCTCACGAGGCCTGAGTGATTTGTGGTCGGTAGGTATAAATACTCGGTCTTGGAGAAGATGGCCGTCGCTTTTGAGCCTGGTCAGTCCTTGCTGTTCCCTACCAAGAGACAAAGGACTGACGGATGATTTACACCCGACGGAATCGTTCTCGATATCAAACCGAATCCCATCGAAAACATGTCTCTCACGACACACTCTTGAAAACAACCACAAAAACGAAAAGGTTACGATCCTGTGTTAGTCTTGAACAAGGCATCTGAGCGGGTGCCCAACAGACCTGAGCTATCTCGGCCGAGTTACAAGTCGAGTCTCGGTGCGGGTTCGCAGGACGAGGCCGAGGCCGAGGAAGAAGCTGAGGACGAGGAGAGGGCCGAGCAGATCACTTGGATCGCTCGCCGTGAGCAGGAGCTGATCGACCAGATCATTCATGGTCAACTTGCTGGACAGTATTGGCTCATCACCGGTAGCTCATCACTGACTCCTTTCAACCCTCGACTTCTTGTACAGGCTTCACTCAGCATTCCTTTTTTTTCTTGCTCGTGTTGTCTTTTATTTTCAGGCCCTAAAGGCACTGGTAAATTCTCGCTGATCGCTGATGCTATGACTAGGAACCAAGCGGATGGTAAGTCCATACATCACGTTTTTTTTCCCCAAATTGTATTCTCGCAATATTATCCACCGAACTCAACTTTCACTTTGATTTTCCTAAAGGCATCGCGGTTTGTGAATGTAGTGACAACTTGGAGATCTTTAGACTCCGATTAGGAAAATGTCTGAATTTCGAATACGCTGAAGATTACATTGGCGGCTTGTTTTCGAGAAGGGATCCTAGGGAAGGTGGTCCATTGGTCGACATCGAGGTCCTTCTTTCTCTACCTTGACAAAACTTCTCCTACATCAACAAACCAACCTGTCTCAGATCACGTCCAAATTAACTGATTCATTTTGTATCCACTTTGTATGACTCGCGACATCTCTGAAAATCAGCGCGCTTTAAATAAATTAGAAAAGGTCAGTGCTTTTCCTGGGGATTCATATTTGTCACCTCTGAGAAAAATGAGCTATCTCTCACCGTATTGCTCAATCAAAGGTTGCTGTTGCTTATCACACGAAAAACTTGCGACCTTTGGTCTTAGTATTCAACAACATACAGTTCAGTGAAAGATTGAAATTATCTGCCTACTATGCACTGGCAAGAAAAGCTGAAGCTGACGTGTAAAATGTTGAGATGTTTGAAGCCATCTGAGACAGGACGAGGGCTCATACAGTCTCCTCCTACAACTGCAACAACGAGCCGAGTCATGGTCCCAGGCGGGGATAGTGACGTTCGTGTTTTGTTCGGACGACCATTGGCCGTACGCGTTGTTGAAGAAGAACGCATCGAGGATGTCGGTCTTGACCGTCAAGGATCTCACCAAACAGGAGGCCATCCGAGCCATGCGCTCCGAGCGCATCAAACTCTGGGGCGAAGCCCGGGCTGCTGATGATCCCGAAATCGAATCGATCTGGAACTTGGTCGGCGGTAGGATCGCGCATCTGAGTGCTTGCATGAAACATAAGGATATGATCCATGCTGCTAAACTTATCATCGAGAGGGAAAAACAATGGCTTTTATCTCGAATTGGGTTGATTGTCGTATGTGTCAACTTCCCTTTAATTTATCTTTTTCGAACCAAATGATTAACAAACTCTGCTGTATCTTTTTTTTCTTGTTAGGACTGTGACGATGGTGAGCAATATTACCCTCAACTTCATTTGGTTTCATTGATGAGGTCTTCTAACTATTGCCCGACATGTATAATTTTTTGAATTCCGTAATCTGACCAAATGTTACCCCCGATTTATTTGGATATGGCTTGTCAGATGTCATGGATGAACAGAAATGGGCATCCGCATCCTTCCTGCTAATGCAAGCCTTGGTGAAAAATGCCGATGAAACCGCGGCTTCCCAGCCGGACTCTGTCAACCATTCCCATTATCCCAAAGGGATCCCATACTCGGTGGCTCGACAGGTGATGGTATGTATCCACACATCCGCGACCATATCTCGCCCATCTTTCCATGTAAAATCAACTGCTTCCGATCGTCTGACATGTGAAAAACAACGGCGATAAACTAGACTCGGACGGACTTCCTCTCACAGTTAGATCACGAGAATATGATTTCTATCGACACTGACTATCAGTAAGTGCACTAACATTCGAGCCCTAGAAAAAAAAAAACGGCTAGAGAGTGACTGATGTGCTCCCCCGGCATGTGAATAGTATCAAGCCCAACTCGATCGTCCTGTTAAATGTGATCAGGGAACTGTGTAACGAGCCAGATTTCCAGGGACGATTGGATAGCGTTCTGGAACGGATCGGCGACATCGAAAGTCTGGGTCGGACGAGGGAGCTGCTTTGGAAATCGGTAAGTCGCCTTCAACTCCCCGCTTTCTTGTTGTCTCTGAAGAAACGAAAAATGTCGGCTTCAAGCGTGGCTTCCATTCGTATACTCTTATGACCGTATCTTCTTTTCGATCTTCATTTTAACGTGTGTGTGTGTGTGTTTTTCTTGTAGGGTAAGGATGGCCATGGGGTGATGAATATCAAGATTGAGGATCATCGACTGGTGTAATCTATGGCCTCTTAGGACTTACTCCCCTCCCTCAAACATCTGTTTTCAGTCCGAAAGCATCTCTCTTTCCTTGATGAAAACATGGTCAAAAGACTCTTTGTATTCCATCTTGGAAGGTAACCAAAACAAACAAAATATTGAAGATGGTATCTGGTACTCTTCTAATGATCATTCGATAATTCTTATGAGAGTTTTATATATCTTGGTAGGTGCTTTCCGCACTGAAGGATCACTTGAGATGACCAAATCCAATCAAACACACAAGTCCTGGTCGAGAGGTGCCAGATCTGAATCTATCGTTTGAAGGTGCAGATCTGAATCTATCGTTTGAAGGTGCAGATGATGAAAGGCAGGCTGTGAGTCGACGAGCTAAAAAGCTTTTGGATCGGCCAGTAAGATGGCTGCTGCCACATCTTTCAGATAAGATGGTCACAAGGAGGACACCGCTGTCCATACTTGCGATAATTAATTTAGTCCATAACTTGATACCTCTTTATTCCCTGAGCACATAGACCCAAGCGTGTCACGGCGCATGTCCCTTCTGGTAGATGAGGTGTGAGTGTGACTTGAAGAAGTCAGGACGAGTGTCCGGTCCGCATTGCCTTGCCATAACCATCCTTGTTGCACCGCCGACGGCAGGTGAACGGAACTTGGGTTGATTTCGGCTGGTGACATGATATGATCACCCGTGGAGGTGGCCGAATCTCCTTGGGATCATCCGATGGCCGCTTGGATACCACCCATCCATCGAGGATCCCGAGTCTCGAACATGAGCAGTGAACACGCCGTGCTATCAAGACCGAACCACACTACATATGAAGTCATGACTTCATTGCAGCCCAAGGCGGTCTAGATTTGTGAGCAGCACTGTCAACATCTGCGTCAGACTTTTAATCCCATTCATCAATTGGGGTGGAATATTGAATTATCCCACAATCTTTGCGGCCATATATTCCAGCTCACGTTCAAGTAGGAGCTCCTCCCCCCCGCTTGCATCTTACATCCCACTGTCCGTTCCTTCTAACCAAGAACAGTCCCTTCATTGTCATTCAAACATACACAGTAGCACATCCCAGAAGTAGATCAATCTCCGGATTCAAAGTACGAATATGTTTAATCTCATTGCAGTCGTTTACCTAGCGCTTCTCGGAACGGCGTATTCAGGTGAGTGAGATCTAGGCTGGTCGCGAGTCTGCTTGGACTTGCAAGAAGAATCTTGATGAAGAGCATGATAAAGTGCGAGGAGGGCTGACAGCAGCGGGAGGAATTGATCTGTTTGTGCAGCCGTCACACCCACCGCACCCGGCCCGAAGGAAGTCTTCACGGCTCGTCAACAATGCAAGCTCTCTTGGAGCTTGGACAAGACCAACAAGTGGAAAAGCTTCTCGGTCGACCTGATGAGCGGCTCCAACTTGAACATGAACGTCGTCACGAACGTCTTCAAAGGAATGGACGGCACCACCGGCAAAACCAGTCACGTATGGAAGTGTCCGGAAGTCGACCCATGCTCTGCTGTGAGCAATCTTCTTCCTGATCACTGTCAGAACTACAATTTTAAAGTCTGTTCGCTGACAGCAGTCAACTCTCTCAGATTTACTTTTACCAGTTCAACCAAGCTGGCGAAGACCCCGCTTGGACGACCCGATTTACGATCGCTTGCCCAGACGGTAAAATCATTCCTCCTGCGAATGCCACGTGAGTCTGATGCAACCCAAAAACTATTTGTATACGCGCAAGAAAATGGAAGATGAAACACTATGTACTTACTCTGACTTGGAATTCGATGACAGTCAACCGCATGGAGAAGCCATCCCTTGGGGTGTCGGCCACTTGAAGCACTAGACGAGTCGTCCGGCATGAGCTGAAAGGTAGCTATAAAGCTTCTTGTTGATTTGTTGTTGATCAAGCTCTTTGCACTGAACTCAACCACTCTGTTTTTCTTGTCACTATAAGGCTTCCGTACCTCAATTTTCACCTATTTGCTGAGGCAGTTTTTTGGTTTCACTTCAGCCAATCAGAAATTCCGATCATGGCTTCTATTGTTGTGCAATGAAGATATTTCCTTTCTACCTTGTTGTCATCTCCTCGCCCCAGTGTCCTCTCTTCAGCTCTTTTCTCATTTTGTCAACCTGCTATATAGTGTCATATGCGAGCTGCAATTCTTTTCCATTCCATGTCACCGATCTGAACCTGTGAAATGCTATGTGCATTCTCAGATGTCCCAGGATGTCCCTAAACTTGTAAACATGTCACATCATGTTTTGTTTGCACAATTGACTTTCAATCGGAAAAAAAAAAGAAATGAAATACCGAAGAAATGAAGACGAAATGAACCCTCGTCAAGCATCCCTTAGGTCTAGTAATCGCGCATCTGGATCCACATCCAAGCGGCCCTTACCCGATGACACCGGAGATCGCAAAAGAAAATCACAACCACGGAAGAGATCCAAGAAGCCGGCTCAAGCACAAGCGCCTCACACCAGTGAACCCGATATCCTCCCGACCTATGAAGTGTTATGGAAATCATCGGAGGCTTCAGCTTACCATCGAGCGCTTCTCTTGAAGCAAAGCCAGAAACGAGAACTAAGTGACCTCGACCAATCCCTCTCAAAGACACCCTTCTCGAGATCTGAAGAAGAGCAATCCGAAGACGCAAAAGAAAGGCTGCTGAGAGTCCTGCGATGGAAGTTGCTTCGAGGTCGCTTCCGGGCCACTCTGCCTGCTCTGGTTTCTCAGAACTCGACTGAAGACGTCGAAAGGGTGGTCAAGAACGCCCTGGAACAGCTGGGCAGTTGTCAGACTATCGATCAGCTCTTGCACTCCGGTGCTCTCGCCACAATGTGTGAGCTCAGAGGGATCGGGCCAGCCACGGCAGCCGGTGAGCTTTTTTTGCTACATTTGATCGATCGTCGTGATCGGCGGCGAAAGGCGTGAAAAACTGAGCGGTTGAGTCGGTCTACCCTTCCTTTCAGCATTCCTATCATTCGAAGCGCCGAGTCTGATTGCCGTCTTCTCGGACGAAGCGGCCTCGTTCTTCGAAAACAGGCTGGGCCTGATCAAGTACACCCTTCCGTTCTACACAAGCTTTGTGGAGTGCATGCAAGCGAAGCTTCAGGAGCTCGCCAAACTGGACGGTAGTTGGGACTTGCGTCGGCTGGAAAGGGCATTGTGGACCCATCAAGTGCTCAGAAAGCTTCTCACCGACCAGGAATGGACGCAGTTCATCCACATCTCAGATCTCCAGCCCGAGCCATCCAACAGCACGGCTTGATTTCTCCCCCGACTAATCAGACATTCCACAGCCTTTGTCATGGACTTGCCCCCCCTTGATTTTCATTCAATCTGCGTTCGTGTAATATAGCGACCATATATCATGATCAAGCAACCCCGTTGAAACTCTCTTGTAATCGTATTGTACTCTTACTTTCCTCATCATATAAATTTTCAAGCTCTGTGACCATACGGGAAAACTAGTCAAACTTCCGAGATCAAGTGTTCTTGTTCGTAGACAAGAGAAAAGTCCGACAACATATTTCTGGACTGCTCATAAATTACACCTGATGATACCTCGGATTTCGCGACCGAAGTGAGCTCTGATGACGCAAAGCCATATGGATCTTTATCATTATGACTTTTCAACGATACACCATCCGGGGCCCACTTCAAATCATAATCTCCTGTGTGAAGATGAAGGAAATTGGTTTGCGAGCACAAGAATCGCGTGCGGGAAGATAGATAATGCTATTTGTTCCAAACTGGCGTCGTGATTTTCTAACTAAACGGGATGATTCGCAAGCTCTCAAGGTTTTGTTTTGTTGTGAAGTACTTTTTTTTTGGTGTCAGAGACGGGGCAGGAGGCAAGTAAGACTTCTAGGAGCCAGACAGATTAAATGTAATTAACACCTCGATGACGAGAGGATACGACTGCAAGAAAAAAAAAAATAATGAATGAATGTGAATAATAAGCCCAAGAAAGTGAAACAAATCGGGACCTAAATGACAAGTGGGATAAGGTAAGAAAGACTGGACATGTCTGCTACACTGGGGACTGCCAAGCGAGGACTGTTGAACAATATTTGAGGCAGAGTTTTCTCTCAAGAATGAGCTAATGGTGATTGGTTTTCGGGTTCAATGGCGGAAGCCGAAGATGAAGGCTTGTTAGTTTTTCGGCCAAACAATTTCGCCCACAGAGCGGCGAAGAAGCCAGGTTTTTTTTGGCCTTGTTCGGTTGACTGTGAAGGCTTACTGGTTTTGGGTCCAAACAACTTCGCCCACCAGGTGGAAAAGAGCCCTGCTTTGAGTTGGGGTTGGTCAGCTGAAGACGAGGATGAAGGAGCTTTATCGGCTAATTGGTTCGGGACAGGATAGGAATGGAGGCTTACCGGCTGGAGCATCGGTTGGGTTTTCGTGGGAGCCGGCGGCCGATCGTTTCGCTAGTTCTTCTTCTTCTTTTTGGGCTAGTTCAAGTTCTCTCAGTTTGTCTTCTTCTTGAGCTAATTTTGCTTTCTTTTCAGTTTCTTTCTGGACTAATACTTTCTTGACTGCGTCTCGGAGCACTTGTGCGAGTTCAGGAGTAACCGGTTCATAAGTTGCCAGTCGACCCATACCTGACCAAGTCTCGGGGCTTTTGAACTCTTTATCAGCGACGATGTATGCAGGGGACATTTGATTTGCGTTCTTTTTGTTGACATGGTTGAGAAGCTGAATGGCTTCGGGTCCATGTGTCTCCTTCTGCAAAACTGAGAAGACCTCTTCTTGTGTCAGGATGACTTGATTTACCGTCGAAGGACGAGGCTCTTTGTCTGAACTATCGAGCACAATCGTATCTTCCTTGGTGGTTATTCTCAAGAACGCCAATCGTTTCTCTTGTTTTTCTGGTTCTTTTTTAGCTATTTCAAGTCGTCTCAATTCTTCTTTTTCTTTGGCTAGTTGTATCTTTCTTTCTTTTTCTTTTTGGGCCAACACTTTCTTGATTGTGTTGTGGAGCACGCTGGCAAGTTCTGGAGTGATCGATTCATAACTTCCCATGTGACCCATACCTGCCCAAGTGGAGGCGTAATTGAAGTGTTTATCAGCGACGATAAATGAATAAGCCGGTGAATTCGCATTCTTTTCGGTGATGAGGTTGAGACGCTCGATCAGTTCAGGTCCATGTTCTTGCTTGTGCAGAGCTTTGAAGACATCTTCTTGTTTCAAGACGACTCGATTTACCGTCCGACGACGAGGTTCCTTGTCTGAAATATCGACCAAAATCTCATCTGCACTCGACGTTACCCTCAAGAAATTCATGGCAAGCGTCGTTTGTACGATGCTGTACACCAGCACGATGACCAATAACCGGGAAAACATGCTGATCTGTTGTGGGCAATAAGAATAATGACAGACGTGATTAGTGCGTAATCTATAGGGGCTGGGAGGCGCGGACGCACTGGGATTGCTGAGGAAAAAGAAGTTCTTACCTGTTTGAGTGGGTAAAGAGGCCGTTGGAAAGATGATAGGTATGAAGCAAACGTTGAGTACGATTTTGTAGGGTAGAGTGGTGCGTAGGAAGGGCTGGCAGGAAGTCTGACCTTTATATGTTTGTGGAGGATGTTATTCAAGAGAACGACCGGTACTGACACTGTCCATCCAGTCTGCCGGCTCAAAGCGGTGGTTTCACGGTCATTCGCTTGTGGAATCCGGATGATACACAACCAATCCATCCAATATAAGTCACTCCCTGCATCTTAATGAAACTTGCCAGAACCCCCGAGTTTTGTGGGAATCGACGCAAGCAGTTGATTGCTATCCCCCATGGTATCCTGAAATCTACTGACCCGCACATCAACAGGAGAATTAAGTGTATAAGGCCTTCCTCTGTCGGAGCCTCCCGCTCCATTAATTCTTGTACCACGTAGGGAAGTTGTGGCAACTGAAACAATCCCTGAGGTATAGCAGGACATAACCCTAATAGGGGTTGTTCTGTGATCTGTGGGGAGGACTGGGAGAATCATGAGGAGTATCATTGGTCTTCCCCAGCTCTTCTCAAACCGCTGCTCAGCCAGGAGATATACCTTGTTGTCCTCTTTGGGAAGGAGTCTTCTTCGACAAGACGGTACCAGGAGTGTCCGTTTGCCGGGAAGGATTCCTGCGGGAGAAGGACCTTGTGAGTTCTGGCTAAGGACGGGTCCTTCACAGCAAGCAGCCTAGCAGGTCCAAGGCATGCCCACTTGCCGGTGAGACCAGAACTTTTCATCACGCATTTTTGAGAGTGTGTTGTAGTGCAGTTGACGAGTGGAAGGGGTTATAGGCTTGGAATTAGAGCTGACCGTACAGAAGATAGTGGAAATATCGAGTTTAATAAGATAATTAAGGCTTTCAGGATTCACCTTCAGTGGAGCCACCTTGAGTTATATGAAGATAAGGAAGAGTGACAAACACAAGAAGATGTATGGGTAAATGGGATGTGATATTTTTGCAAGCTGGTACTTTTTTCAAAAAATTGAGTCGAATCTCAAGACTGGCATTTACTCTGAAGCACCAATTTTTTGTACTCAAGAATAATAAAAATCGACTTTTGAGCCGGGGCCCGAAAAACTGAATGCAATTGGGACCTGAAAGATGGGGATAGGACTGCACGAAAAACTGGACATGCATGTCCGGAAATCAAGCAGTTGTTAAGCAATCCCACTCGTCGCCACGGTTTCCTTATAAGGATTGAGCCGACTGGTGTTTGGATTGAGTACCCGGCGCTGAAGATGAAGGCTTCTCAATTTTCCGGCTCAACCACTTCACACCCCTGCAGGGTTGGAAGCAACACGAATGATCTACAAATTGTTTCTGTGTTTCTTTTTCTTTCATTTCTTTTTGTTCTCTTGTCTCTCTGGATAGACGCATCTTGATCTCTTCTTCTCTTTTCTCGAATATATTCAAGACGGTTGTGAAGAGCAGCTGTGCAAGATCACGATCGACCGGCCGATAATTGCCAGCGCGATCCAACAGTTCCCAAGTGTTTTGCCGACGGTAGACCTCATCAGCCACGATGAACGACGGGGCCGATTGGACGTCAGCGTTCTTTTTGGCATAATCGATGAGAAGCTGAATAGCTTGAGGTCCATGTGCCTGCTCTCGCAGGGCCGAGTACAACTCTTCTGGATCCAATTCGCTTGGGGTTATCGTCCAATGACCGGGCTCTTTGACCGAACTCTCGAGCCAAATCGTGTCTTCGGTTGGGATTAGCCTCAAGAACCTTATGGTATCGGTAAGGGTTCTTGGGACGATGCTATGGAGAAGCGCAATGATCAGGAATCTGGAACCCAACCACATGCTGGACTTGAGCGAGAATCAAGGCAAGTAGGGCGTCTACAGCTATAACCTGTGGGGTAATCTATAAGGATGTTTGCAGACATAGGATCGGTTTGTTGTAGGCTGACATCTGAAAATGACAGGATTACCAAGAAGAAACGAGTCCTTACGTGTGGTATTTAATAGCCTCTGGAAAGCTGATAGGCAGTAGTATATCTTCCAATTGAGGGGAGTGGATTCGTTATGCTGTGAAATAAAAGGCCGCTGCGGTTTGATCTTTATGGCGAAGGAAGCCTCAAGCGTTTCCCATCCGGAGTCAAGCGGTCGTTTTACCTCCGCTATCCAGACGATCGACGGCAATCCATTGACACACCTCCCTGCATCTTCAATGAAACACCCCCGGACTGTGCCCCCCCAGTCTTTGGGTAATCAAAGTACTATAGTTTGAATAAATGCTTCGGCGTGCCAAGTTTTCTCTAAATCATATATTTATGTTCATGTTAAAATGTGCTGTAGCCTGTTGGCTTGGCTTGTTTCCTCGTATGCATGTATGTAGGTATTACAATCAAGAAATTCTCTCTCTTTTCAGTCCCGTTTGTTCATCCATTGCGTCCAAGTCTGTTCAAGTATGTACATTTACCTCCACACAAAGAGGCCACCATCACAAAACGTTAAATACAAGGAAAGAAAAAAAAACATGCGGATTTTGGTATGTATTTCTATGCTGATCAAGTCTAACTGGCACCAGAGGAGGTTTGCAGGGGCATGAGAGCTCCCTCTGCACCTTGAACAATTCTTCACTTTTGAATACAAAGCTTGCACCCGGTTATACCCCTTTAGGAAGGATTCCCAATGGGGATTGGGGCCATGTATGTAGGTTTCCCCGGTGTTTTTAATCGATCGTCGCTGTTTTTGTAGCAGGTGGATAGGGAAGGAAGCAGAGTGGATATCAAGGACGGGAGCGTCTTCCTGATTGATTTCTTGATCAGAGTATGTATTTTTGTTGAGGTGGTCTTCATCACCTCACCAGACCGAGAAGCAATGAACATGATGACAATGATTTAATGTAATTCCTACATCCCACGTCCATATAAGAGTCAAACAAGACGGTGACGAACATGATGAGGGCTTAAATGTACAACCGTTTAACTTGTGATGCTCTTTGTGCCCGCTTGAGAATGTCTCGAATCGATGTTTATCCCTCCTTTAAGGTTGATGGATGGACTCATGGCCACCAGCTGGACCGGTTTTCCAATCCGCTGAGTGTCTAGAATGTTGGATTCTAGATAGCAATCCGGGCCGACTCCTTGAGTATAGTTGATCGAGGTTGGCGGGGTCTACTTACGATCCATTTGATGTTCGATACTAATGCTTTGTATCTTTTGTGTCACTTCAGCCAGCTTCAAACGTGTTTTGCTGGAGGGATAGAGATTTGGTTAAGCCAGTGAAAGCTTAACATGCCGGAAATCCTGGTCTTTCACAACAACAACAACACCCTGGAGGACCCATCTAAATCTTCGTTTCGGATGTCCGGAGCCGGCGGGGTTTATCTTTGATGATTAGACGTACAGCATCCTCAACCGTTACACCGGAAAAACATTGAAACCTTGTGGTTTTCTGTTTGTCAAATGCTACCGAATCGGCATCAACGGTGGCTGCAGAATTAGCTGTTGTAAACTCCTTTTCTCGCTTCCAGCTCTCTTCCCCCCTCCCCCGCGCCACTCCCCTCAGCCATAACACCCGGCGACCACTAGCCCGATTGAATGCACAGCACTTGATTAAGGTTTGATCTCTTGATCCTTGGAGCTTGCAGTCGACCAGCTTTACAACAGCAAATCACCATAATCTTCTGCAAAGTCTTTTGCAGCAGTCTCGCTTCAACTCGACAACAGCAGACAACAGCTCGCCAACCCTCTCGCCGCTCGGAGAGCCCCGCAAGCGGACTTAGCTAAGCTCGACATACAACCCGCCTACATCCCCTCGGTCATTGCTTCTCATCCATCGCGCTATTCCGCCCTTATCCGCTTCTCTCTCAGTCTCTCTCTCTGTCCCCCCTGGCCATACATTGCATCTCTGCTCCAGTTGACTTTGTATCTGGCCAGGCCATCTTCAAGTTTCATCCTTGATCCCCCATTTCACAGCCGAAGCGGAACACCATCACCCCCACCCCCACCTTCGCTTTGGATTCAGGACTTGGCGTAAACCCATAGGAGTAGCAGAGTGATGTCACACCAGCTCCCACCCAACCTAGCTGAAGATGATCTTCAAGCTGAACATCAACCCCCAGTCTCATCAGCTCCAGCCCATGACCTCTCCATCTTCATCGATCCCTCCAATCGATTTCTTCCGATGCCAACCAGGAAAAAAAAGAGGGTTTATACCTCTTGCAGGCAGTGTCGCAAGAGGCGATGTGCCTGCTCCCGCGAATCTCCTTGTCCGTCGTTTTCTCCTTTTCCCTTCTCCGATCATCCGTACAATCATCATCGAGCTGTTCTTACAAATCCTATGAGCCACCCTTGTCGAAAATAAATAAATAAATACTCAAACAACTTTAACACCCGAGCTGCCCAGATAGATATACAAAAACTTACACATTTCTCCTCCTCCTCCTCCTCCTCACCCCTTCTTTTCGGGAACAATCGATTCTCATACTTTTTTTTGAACTTGATCATCATTCACATGGCTCGATCCACAGGTTTCGCCTGCGTTTCCAGGGGAGAAGGTGATCAATGCGATTGGACTGGGGCGAGTCCTCAGTTTATTAAGCCCAAAGGTCAGATCCATCGGGACCACTTCTTGAGCAGGCAAGAGAACCCTGCTCGCCTTAGGATCCATCAAGACCTTCAGGCCCTCGACACCCGGCTTGAATATCTCACCGATCTCGTCAAGCAACATGCTCCTTCCTCCGCCTCTGCAGTCAACAAACCGGAAACCGTGCCCGTAACAAACTACCACGTCGACGACATTGCAACTCAGCTCAGTCGGTTCACATTGAATCAAGCCATACCCCAGTTCCCGCCGGAACGTCCCCTGACAAACCCCAATGCCCAAATCTCCATCAAAGAGGTACGTTTTTCTAGCAAGCATAATCCAAGATGAAATTGGGGTGGGATGCTTACCTTGCTTTCACCCAGGTTGAACAATATGTGGAAGAGGAAGAAAGGAAAGCCAAGCCGGTTACGTTCAACATAGGATCTGGCAATCCGCTCACTACGCCTGACCCAAACAAAGAGAATCTTGTCTCATCCTCTGCCACCTCGCCGGTCTTGCAAGGTCTACTGGGTATCGGAAAAGGCCCGAGCTCCTTTGAGGGCATCATGGCAGAGCTCCCTAAATGTGTGCAGATTAAGGCCTGTTTGGAACAGTTCGAGTATCACAGAGCTTGGATGCGTATGTGGAGATTGGATCCTATCATTTTCTGTCCCTGCTTCGATGATATCCAACTAACTTGCTCTGTTTCTCGGTTGAACAATCCACTTTTTTACATGGATCAACACGAAATCTAATCATCGGTGGTGAGTCCTCACACAGATTCTTTTTCTCTCTAAGGATTTCATGATAGATGACAATGATAATAATCAATGCATATGTGTGTTCAACAGGTTGATTATTCTCAGATCGAATCCTCCATCGTCCCGCTTTCTGGGACCAAGTCTATGTCCAAATCAAGCATAATTTTTCGTATACCGATCAACGAGCACAAGCACACTGGCTGGCCATTTTGTTTTCGGTTTGTGGATTGGGGTTATTCAATAATGTCGTGCAATCAGAGGCGGCTTTGAAGGCCTACGAATTACCCACTTCAGTCAAGGCACAGCGCGCCTTGGCCTTACGTTGGTGCAGAGCCGCAACAAGCTGTTTGGAAGTCGGCAGTTGAGTCTTTAGTTAATCAACAGAAATCCGCAACATCCATTCCTAGTCAAGGTACTGATTGTTTGCTCTTTTCCTGCCTGTCTCTGATTAACTCGGACGTCTTAGACTTTGAAGAGGCCCCCAGCGTTGATTCAATATGCGCCATGGCAATTTTGGCGCAGCTTCCTCTGTAATTATAGCTTCCATTTTTCTCCTCGATCCTTTCTTTGCTCCCCTCCACTGCCCTCCTATTTAGTCTCTTGCTGGGAGATTATACTGACTCAGAGAACTGTACCTCTCCCCATATATATTTAAACACAAATGCCCTCTCTTTTTGAACGACAAATACTATCATTTCTAGGTACACATCGGTTAGTGGCGTCTTTCAACTTATTTGAGAAACCATTAAAATCTTCAATGCTGATCGTAATATAAATTAACTTATCTTTGCACAGAACGGAGAGACATTAGGTTTGGCCTTGGACTTTATTGCAAAAGCTATTGATCTATCAGTGAAGCTGGACTTGGTGAGTTTCCTTGAATTCATCAGTCTACAAAATCATCCCTAACAAAACAAACTATCTAGCACATTGATCCAGATTCACATCCGACCCATCAACATTCTACTGATCTGGTGAAGCAAAATCGAAGGAGACTGATGGTTGCCTTGTTATGTCAGCACTACAAAATGGGCGGATTGCTCTGCCAAGAACATGGACTGCGACCTCTTGAACAGTTCTCAGGCCTTCAGCTACCGCTTGACCAGTTCGACGAAGACTATGATTTAGCCAATGGCCAGCTGAAGGTGCCTCGAGCCCCTGGCTCTACCCATACCATCATGACTGGGGTTCGGTGTCGCTTCCAAGTCTCTCGCATCTGGCAAGAAATTGGGATCATGTTTTCCAACCCTGCCGATCCTCCTACACACGAAAGAGTCTTGGACATCCACAGAAAGCTCAAAGAGGTCGAATCAAAGTGGCCTGAAACCATCCAGACACAATTCAATCCGGCCACTTGTTCATTCACACCGCCATTCAAATTATTGCCAACCAGCTCACCAGGTCGACAAGTTTTGCTTATCGATCGATTGGGCTGCTTTGCAGTCTTTGCCGCAGCAATGGTTCGACTTCACAGAGGGTTTTTGATGGAAGTTGATGGTGCTCCCATCGAAGACATAAAAATGCATCGCGAACAGGTCTATTACTATGGGAGTGAGTATTATCTTGTATTTGCTTTCTCTTGTGGCCAATCATGCTAACTAGTTTCTATCTTCTATCATTGCAGGAGCCATGTTGGCTATCCATCGTGCGGAATTATTCCCACTTGATAATGGTGAGCAGCCCCATCCATGATCTTCACAGTCTCAGTTTGTTGAGCCCGTGAGGGGGATAGTCAAGTTACCGAGGTGATCAATTTCGGTTTTAAGCTCACAGCCTTGTTACCTTTAATGAACTTGTCGATATTGAAACGCTTAGTGCCAATACAGTTCTTCGTCTTGTCTTCTACCATATCATTGGCTGTCTACTGTTTGACCAACAATTTAAATGATGAAGAAGACAAATGTCAGATCGTGGCGACAGAGCTCAGGAAAGTAAAAAACGTACTCAGGCGATGTGTGAGTAAGAGTCGGGATTCATTATGCGCAAGTGATAAAATTTGTATTCCTTGACTAACTATATTCCTTTTTTGGTAAATAAAGACGGCCATGAGTTCAATTTTGAGAAGGACCTATGCAGTTCTCGATTTTGCTTTGAACAAATGGGAGTGGATGCAGAACCGTACCACGCCAGTTGACGGTGGAGCTCGTAAGCGGGGTAAGACAAATCCCGAGGCCAACCAACAACTTCCAGACTTGGCGAATTTCAATCAAAATCGACCTGATGATCGATCAACGGCAAATCCCCCTGAAGGAAATTCCTTCGAAGGTTTAACGAATGGGGAACATACCAGTGAGGAGTCTCGAGACGACGATAGCCTTTACCGCATTTTTCTACAAGATCTTCCATTGACAGATTATCTCGATTTCAATCATGATCTCGTAAGTCTCCACACCGTCCATCTTCTACCAGAATAATTGCTTGAATTAGTCCCCCAGAGACACACATTGACTGTTTTTTTTGTGTGTTTGATTTTCAATAGCAACACAAGTCTGAGCCTGTTGCTACATTCGCTACCTTGCCAAACTTTCACGGCGTTCCCCAGAGCTTCGATTTTGGCAACCTTTCTCAGCTTCATTCTTTGGACACAACGGCTGCTACTACCAGCACCACTCATACTTCCAATGGTACGAAGTCGGACGGATCTTCGGTAACCTATCTATCCACACCATCGTCTTCCACAAACCCATTGCTTGCATCCATGTTCAATGATCAAGAACTGAACTCGTCACCCACCTCATTGAACCCAGCGGCAACTACGTTCCCTTTTGGAGTTAGTTTCGACAAACCCCAAAACACTGCACCATCGTTTGCCGAATTACCTTATGCAGCCACTCATCAACCGGCAATCAACAGTTGTAATGCAAGTAGCAGTGTTCCTGTCAATGTTGATTCTTCTCTTGATGCAAGCTTCACACACAATCAGTTAGCTGGCCACAATTTCAGTACCGCTGGCTACAACCTTTCCAATCAATTCAATTTGCCTGTCAACAGTAGCATCGCTTGAGATGATGAATAAATACCTTCCCTGTATTTCAAAAAAAAATACTTATAAAATTGATATCAAGGTACTTATTGTACCGGTTGTTTTTTCACATCTATTATTGTTATCCTATGTATGATCAATATGTCTTTTGAAAAGCTTGATTATTTGTACAAAAAAAAAACTATATACATACACATAAATTATTCTGATGGGTGCGGAAACTTGAGGGTTTTTCTCTGTACCTTTGTTTTTTTTTCTTGGAGGTTGAGTTTTGTGTTTAAATTTTATATATAAGTACCATCATGGAAATGAAATCAAAGAAGCAAGCAGGTAGTTTGGTTTTTTAATTGAGTAACAAGTAGGGTCCTTTAAGATCATCATTGGGATAATGTTGTTCTGGTTGTTGATGAGGTGCAACATGGGTAGCAGCTTATAACATTGGATGAACTATCTGGACAAGGAAATCAAATGCTGGAAAGGGTTGGGTTGTAGCTGCTCAATTGTTTCAGTGGGTAGATATGTGAGAATTGCAAGGGCAAAGTGCTAACAACGGTGCAACAGAGACAATAAGAGACAGTATCAGGTGTTTATTTGTATTGTCTCAGAATTTGAATACCCAAAAATACGGGATTTGTGTTGTCTCACTTTCCTGAGACAATACACATGTATTGTCTTTGAAAAGTGAGACAAGTATTCTGTATGGTCTCAGATGACTGATCCCACCAAAACCGTATTTGATACACAATATATCTGGCTGTATTGAAGAAAAAAGAAAAAAAAAAAAACGAAGACAATTTTTTTTCTTTTTCATTTGTAAATCCGAATCTGAGACAATAAATTTTTTTCACCAACCAAGAAAATACTGATACCGGTATCAAGCTCAAAATAAAGACAATACAATCCGATACGAATACATGTCTCATATCTGTTGCACTGTTGGTGCTAAGGATAAAAAAAAGTGAAATGGCACTGGGGGTAGACTAGGGGGTGAACTACTGAGGCCTGAGGGATTATGATTGTCAGGAATTTAATTGTTACCAGTGGCATCACTGAATGTTGCCATGTTGCAACAGTAATTCCAGCAATCTGATCATCATCACCAGGGGAAATATCAGGGCACTGGTTGCCCAGTGACTGCATCATCATCTCACCATAAAATCAGATAAGCTTATCAAAAATTTCACTCGGGTATTGGTAAAGGATCTGACATTCACACATTTTTCACAATGTTGGATACTGATTGAGATGGTGCCAAATTGGGAGGGACTCCCTCCGATGCGCTGGGTTTAAACCCAGAAGGCCAGGGGTTTCTCCTGACAAGATGGGTTTAAACCCATCAGTACGGTGCACCTGGACCGACAATCAGAGGGTCAACCAACTGCAAGAATAAAAATGAAGTTGAAGTCACATAAATGTTTTGGACCCTGTACTCAGGTTGTACAGAACATTTATGTACCTCCGGCTCTGGTCTGTATCAACAGTGAAACCAATATTAGCTGGGTATTGGTGTTGGGTGGTATTGCCTATGAATACTGTTGGAATTTCGACTCTTCCCTTCTTCATTCATTTCACTTCTCAATTTCATATTAACTTTTTTGAATATTAATACTCTTAACTACTAATAATTATATAGTCTGTCTAGTAGCAAGTCATGAAATTAATCATCAAATTCTTTTAGTCAAAGAACCCTGAATCCCTAGTTGTTGATTTCTTTCTTCTCCATGCTTATCTTCTGATTATTCTTCAAGTTATGGTGTTGAGATTGATCTGATGAAACTAACATCTTCATCAGAAATGTGGTTCTTGTTTTCTTTTGTTGTTTATCAAGTATAGTTATCATAAATAAATAATGTCTCTCTCATGATTCATCAACACTGAATTTAATTTCCTCTCAGTCTGTTTTTTTATTCATTTCTCCACAACCACTTTCTAAACATCTTGTACTTAGTCTCTTTAAACATAGCTAGTTATAAGAAATCAACCCCATCAGTTCTCACCTTCATTTTTTGCTACATTGAGCTGTTCCAACAAAAATATTTTGTTGTCCAAAAATTCTCTCCAAAAACTCCTCCCTGTTAATCGGTCATAGTTTCAACAAATATCACCCAATATTTGGGCCCAGTATAGTATTGGGCCCCCGACCCAATACTTTGTATTCATGGGCACATGTATTGGGAAGCAAATAAAATAAAATGTATTCATCATTAATCTATTAGTATTGGCCAGGCCAATAAAATAAAATATTATACTTCAAAATTATCAGTGTGGATTTCAAAAACCACTGATCAACATTAATCAGCCTCAATCAACCCACCACTAGCCTCTCTGGTAGGAATACAATCCCACATTCTCAGGTAAGTCTTTTCTTTTCAGATCAATCAACCAAAGCTCTTGTTGATTGTTTTTTTTCTTCTTCTTTTTTTCTTTTGGGTCAAGCAAGTACACATAGGCCAAAAAGTGCTAACAGCACTGTGTGATCACTTGATTGATTGCTTTGTAGACCAGAAAGTGCTAACAGCATAATTGATCACAATTTGCAATTCAATTTGTTTGACACCTGCAGCCACCGAGGCTCCAATTGAGGCAATTGTTTGACGCCTGTGGCCACTGAGCCTCTAATTGAGGCATTCATTTGACGCTCACGGCCACTTAGCCTCCTTCTGATCCTTGCTGATCAATTGAGGCCGTGGATCGTTCCTGTCAAGCTCTGATTGAGGCAATCGATTGACGACTGTGGCCACCAAGACTCCAAGCTGTTTGTTTGATGCCCGTGGCCAGGACAATTTCTCTCAAAGTTGAGCCTGAGAGATTGTTCTTCCCCTACCTTGATGAGCAAGTCATAAGCACTCCCTGCTTCAGCTGTTTACACTACAAACAATACCGATTTTGCCCCAAGGAAAAATGGCAATTTGGATGGTGGAAAATAGATCAATTTTCTGGCACTTTTTTTACAAGATACCTCAGGAGTAAAAAATTAGGCTAAAATGAGCTATTTTAGCCAAAAATTAAAAATGTCTCAAATGAGCTAAAAAATCATTTTGGAATGTTTGATGAATTTCTATCTCTGGGCTAAAATAGCTCAGTTTAGCCCAATTTCTACTCCTGAGGCATTTTGGAAAAAAGTGCCAGAAAATTGATCCATTTTCCCCCACCCAAATTGCCATTTATTGTTGGGGCAAAATGGGTATTGCTTGTAGTGTTAACTTTGGAAGGTTTTTGCTCCAGAGATACTTGAACAAACTCACATCAAGTTGCTTGCAAGCTCCCCCATGGAGCACTTGTTCCTAGCTCATGGGACTGCAAAGATACCAAATAGAGAATTCCTCAGCACAGTAATCTCTGATCATGGCCCCTGGAAGAAGATCAGTATTAACCTGATGTATCACAACCCTGATAAAACTAGCTCAAGCCCATTATTCTCTCTAGATGTATCCTCAATGCTTCCTTCAACCAAGCAATCCACCAAGTTACCTCAAACTTGTTCCCAAAAACAATACAATGCCTCACCTGGAAAAAATGTCAGTAGCTCAAAGGCGATAGCTAATTCATGGGCCCTTGGTGGATCAGTAAGCCCTAAGAAGATGAAGAATCAAGCAGATTTGGCCTCTCAAATAAGCTGTCTTAGCAAGCAGCCACTTGACTCAATCCCACATAACACCCCCATTGAATCACCCAGATGGATTATCGGTAAACAATTGGACTTTTTTACCAGTCCTCCACCACCTTCATCAAACTTGATCCCAGAATCCACCCAATTCCAACTTCCAAATGGTATTTATGTGATTGCACATCCGATAACCTATTGCATCAATTTCAAACAAAATATTGGCAAGGGAACGATGCAAAGAGCTTATGCAGCTGAGGTGAAAACAGATCTGGGGGGTGGAATTGAACATGTTAATAATTGGGTAGCAAAGGTACAAAAAAGTGATATCAAACTCTCCATTACAAAGCATGCAAATGATGCTCTTATGTATGAGGGTTTTGCATACCTTCTCAATGAATATAAGGAAATTCTGAAGAAGTGTGAGCACTTGGACAAAAGCTTGAGAATAAAGGCCTTGAGAATTGAGTTAAGTGAGAATCAAATGCATTTAATCATATCATTTGATCTTTTTATAATAATACCTGATTCTCATGATTTTACAGCTTGTCCAACATGGTGTGATTGCCACGGGTGATATGGAATCACTGACCAATGTCTACTTTTTAGAGTCTGCACTTGATGGTCCTTATGTGAAATACTCAAGTAACATTGATTTTTCAAGACCTGCAAATGAAGATACAATAGATCCAGAATTATTCAAATTGATAGATGCTTTCACCCATTGGTCCTATAATAAATCTGATGGAAAGTATCAGCGGTGGGCCGCTACACTACACTACGCTACGGGACCATGTAGCGTTAGCGTAGCGGCAGCGATGGGCAGATACGTTACCCAAATGGATAACGTTGACTGTAACGTAACCTTTACAGTTACGTTAACCACAAGTTACAGATATCTTTATTTCAGTTACGATATCTACTGGAGCAAAAGGCCCCTTTTTTTTCTAGTTACGTTCCCAGAAATTCTGAACAAAATAGGGTTACGTTACAGAATTTACAATATTTGGATAACTTAAGGGTAACTTTGCTGGAGATACACTGATTCTTGATGGTTTTTTTCATTAGGAGCGAGGTAATTTGCACAATATGATCATAAACCAATCAGTGATTATCATTGCACCAGCAAGCCAGGTCAAAATATGTCTGGTGTGAGAATTGAACCCACAAGTAGAGATGTCACTTGGCACCTGCCAGCAGGTACCCGCCACAACTTCAAACAATTACCTGTACACCTCAGCCAGCATCTGTGCATTTGAAGGATGTATTACTTTCCAATAAACAGTTCTGCATGCTCCACCTTCAAAGCAGGTGGATGGAAGTGTCCAGGGCACCTTCTGAAAGTGTGGCAGGTACCTGCCGGCAGGTGCCAAGTGACATCTCTACCCACAACCTCCACATATTAAATGTGCATGTGAGGCACTCTTTGACCATTAAGCTATATGCAATATGATTTGGCCCTTCAACCTCTCATAACACCCTCCACCCAAGTAAGTTACGTTACCCCAAAGAAATTTATGGAAAAAATAAAATTGGTTACGTTACTTTACTTTACAACCAAATTTAGTTACTTTACAAAAACAACAGATTTGGATAACTAAAAAAAAGTTACGTTCTCCAAATCCCCTGCTGTAACGTACCGTAACGTATCTGCCCACCGCGGCGCCAACAATTGCTTTTTTTGTGTAGTGTTAGCGCGCCGCTACGGCCGCTGTGCTACGCTAACACTAGCCAATTTTTGGTGTAGTGTTAGCGCGCATCTGGCGCCGCTCCGCTGCGTTATGCTACGCTACAGAGTTTTTAGCGGCAAAAAACACCTAAAAACCGCTAAAAACTGCTGTAGCGCAGCATAGCGGGCGGTTTTTTGCGCCCTGCGCGCGTAGCGTTAGCGCAGATGGGGGGAATTGCACTAACGCTACACTTAAAGTTAGCGCAAATTTTTTCCCCATGCGCGTAGCGTTAGCGCCAAAAATGAGAAAAGTGCTAACGCTACGCTAAATTGTAGCGGTTTTGCGCTTAGCGTAGCTGGCCCACCGTTGAAAGTATCTGGTCAGTGACCTTCAGGGAGTTGGTGCAGTGCTGACAGATCCGTAGATTGTTGATATGGATCCTGAGTAAGTTAAATATTCACTTATTACACTCAACAATTCAAATAATAATAATACAATACAATTTTTAGCTGCTGGTCGGATGGGAATAAAAGTGCAGAAGGAATCAAATCCTTTATCAACATGCATACTTGCCATCCAGGAAACACCATTTGTGAGGCCCTCAACCTGGGCAGAATAGTCGACTTGAAATGGAAGAAACCTCCTCACTCACTGGCCCATCTTGCCTCAAGAAATCAGGCTACCTCATATATCAGCTCCTCATAATTCCAATCAGTGATCTCATCAAGAAGATTGATAATTTGATCTTTGGAAAGGATTACTCTATCTGATTGTGCTGCTTTCTCATCAAATTATTCTCTCAGCATACTTCTTATCACTGTTTGGATCCGATCATTTTTCTTGTATATATTTGAACATTTCATAAAAAATTACATTCTCAAGCTTTGAACTGATACTTGGATATCTTTTCAGCTCTTTATCTCTCTGCTTTTCCTGCTTTCTCCTTCAATTATTCTCATATTGTGTTTCTTAGCATTGTTTGAGTACATTGGTGGTGCAGAATCATTGGAGTTGTACATGAGCAACCATAAATAAAAATCCTCACCTGTTGAGGTGAGATAGACTGAATCACTTCTCCAGATTCCCATGCACAAAAACAGAGTCTAGCCAAAACGGTAATCAGCTGTGACCTGACCTTACCACACTGATAGCAGCCAAGTCACCCATTACCACTGCATGCAAACGGGCAACATTTTGTGGGTAATGTCAACGTGACATTCAACACAAACGTCAGCCCAGCCCAGCCATTTGGTTGATGTTTGCACGTCAAACATCACATTGACGCTCAGGCAAACATCAACTGTTTGCATGCAGTGTACTCATTGGAGTCGCATTTGTTGGGAAAAGTGAATAGATAGATCATGGCCCATGGTCACACATTCAATTCCCTCCAAAGGCAATCCATTGAGGAAATTATGCATCTTGCGAGTTAAATATTATCTGGTCCGGTCATGTAGCCCAGCTGGGCTTGATTGAATTACCGGTTCCTGGCTCACATAAATCCTGCATGGCCAGCAGGGCATGTGGCTTTAATGGTGGTAGAGATTTCAAAGCTGAGTCAACATCATGATTCAGAATTCAAAAGCAAGGTAATTTGGATGCCTTTGCATTCATGCACACTTGTCACTCATGCTTAGACAAAATTGACCAGAACATCCCAATCTGTTGGATTATGAATATGCTTATATTCATTATACAATATGCTTCAACCAAAACTCAAAGCAATCATGTATATAGTCTATACCTGATGGCTACTGCAGTTTTTCCTCAGTGAATCAAAACATATTTTTCTCTCACTCACAAAGTGTCACTGGCCTGTCAGCCGTGAACTTTGGTTTTCACCTTGAGTTCCCCTCAACACAATCCTCTGGATTCTATCTCAAAATTCGACGCTTCTATTCACCAATCACCTATATTTCTATGGCTTCTTATGATAACCTTGGGATAACTGAGGATGGTTTTTCCCCTGCTTCCACCATTAGTTATCCAGATTGTACTGAATTCCCTGAGGTCCTTTTGGAGTTTGATATTAAGGAAGTGATTGCATCACTTGTAGTCTTGTATCTCAGGGGAAAACGGGCCAAGAAATCCATTGTTTCCTACAAGAGGAATGTGGTGTATCAATGTCCTTCAGCACACGTAAACGCAGGCGAGCTGACTGGGGACTTTGTAATCTTGACCTGCCTAAGCCTCCCACCCCATCCAAACTTCCACTAGCCATCCAGGCATCTATGATCTCTTCTCAAGAACAGAGTTTCATGGTCTCTGAAATGCGCTCATGACTAATTCAGGACACTGCAAAACAGGTCTCTCATTGGAAGGTAGAAAGATACTTGGCAAAACTGGAGCTGAAACAACAAAGAAATGATATAGCAGATGGGAAGGTAGCCCAAGAAGAGGTCAAATCTCTTATAGAACATGCAAGAAGTCAACTACTGGCAAACTCTGCAGGCTATCAGAGGATGAGACAGATTTTGATGCAAGATTATCAAACACATGTTCCCTGGTGAGTTATATGTAATTTGAATATTTGTCTTTTGAATGTTTGAGGCCTGCCACCTGGCTAACATTACTTATACAACCAGGCTTGTTGTATATGAACTTCTAACAGAGTTGGATCCTCAAGGAATGGCTGATATGCTCCGCCATGCTTGTAAAAGGAGGGTCTTTTGAACAGCAGGGCCAAATCACATCTGGTCTGCAGATGGCCATGATAAGTTAAAACCGTTTGGAATAATAATCTATGGCTTCATTGATGCATGGTCCAGGAAAATCTTGGGGATGTATGTGCATATGACCAATAATGATCCAAAGCATGTTGGGGTATACTTCCTTCAACTGGTCACTCAATATGGTGGGATCCCAATCAAGCTCACTACAGACTGTGGAAATGAAACCGGAGAAATGGCAACATACCTGATTGAACTCACTCATAGGTATCAAGGCATCTCATTGGAAGAAGCACAGACACACATGCATTACACCAAGTCCATTCAAAATCAGGAAACTCAAGTAACTATGGTTCAGAATGATGAAGGAGCACGACTGGAAAATATAATCAGGATGATGACATTCAAAGGCCAGTTGATAAATGGCAGTTAATCTGTTTTATTTTTTAAGCTGACTTCCTTCTCAACAGACTTTTGTTTCTGTTCCTTTGCATGCCAGTCTTTCAAATGAGTGTAGACCGCTGGACTTCAATTTACAATGCATTAAGAAAAAGAAAGTATAAATTCACAGACCTACCAACCTCCTGCTCTCCCAACTTTTCCTACTCAACTCCTGAACACTTTGGCACCACCAATCAATTGACACCTGTCCCTAAAGAAGATCTTAGCCTCTAATTTAACACAATAACTTGGATATCAATTTGAGAACATCACACTTGGAGGCCTCTGGGGCATCTTTGATGATATGATTCCCTACTTTAAGTCCAACTTACCTCCCAATTATAATTCAATCCTTCCTGAAACCCCTTGATCCTCTTTTAGACCATCCATTATTCATAAATGAGCCATAAACTTGTAAATAATTATCCATTAAATAGCCAATGATTGAATCTTTGATTCACTTTTATTAATTTCCATTCCCATGATTGAAAATATCTATTGTGCCTGGCAGATCATTCTTTCTCATCAAACCAATTCCAAAACAGTCTGATTGTACACCCATGACCCACAGAAGCAGAGGCATAGGCAGTCTGATTTCAAGAAAAAAAAATAAACCACTCTTTACTCAAAACTAATGACATTCTGTATGCAAGCACAGCCGAAATTCAACTCCAGTTACTGAACAGTGGAAAGACACAAGGGTTTGATTGAAATTTAGTATGCATTGATGCAAGCACAGCTCCAAGAAAATCCCTGTGACTGGAAAATGAAACAAACAGAAATTTTATCAAAACAAATTTCAGAAATTATGTTGATTTCAAGCTTGCCAATTGGAAACTCTGTCCGCTCTTGATACTGTTCTTGATTGCCTCTCATCTGGATTCATCTCCTTCAAAAGTTTGGCACGCTGTATGAGGAAATTACTAATTTGAAATGAACATCCAAAGTGTGTTAGATCCATTGTGGTCCTCAATTCTGGAGGGTGTGGGGTGGTATGATGTTTGACCTTGGTGCTAGGCCACATCATCTCAATAATTCCAGGAGATGTCCCAAAATCAAGATTACCATCAAAATCCGGAAAGTGGAAGGCATGGCCCTTCACATTTGCTGGTGGCCGTCTTGGCAGGCCATCCTTTGTGCCAATATAAGAAAAAAGCCCATATGTGAGCGGGTTTTTAAACCCAGCTGGCCAGAAGTTCCTCCTGACAAGCTGGGGTTAAACCCAGCTCATTGGGAGGAGCTCCTGGCCAGATGGGTTTAAACCCCAGCTGGACAGTATTTCTTCCCAACAAGCTGGGTTTAAACCCATATGGCCAGGAGCTCCTCCCAATGAGCTCGGTTTAACCCCAACTGACCAGGAACTCTTCCTGAAAAGCTAAATTTAAACCCAGCTGGCCAGGAGGTCCTCCTGACAAGCTGTGTTTAACCAGATTAGGTGTAATACAACATGAGACTGCACTACATTGGGAGGGACTCCTCCCAAAAAGCTGGCATTAAACCCAGCTTATCAGGGGCTCCTCCTGACAATCTGAGTGGGTTCAATCCAAGCTTTTCCGGAGCCCCTTCTAACAAGTTCATGGGTTTGATCCCAGCTTGTCTGGAGCCCCTAATTCAATCACAGCTTTTCTGGAGCTGGTAGCAAAGGCAGCTTACCAGGCCCTCCTTGCAACAAGCTGGGTTTCATCCCACCTTGCCTGGAGCTACTCCCAAATAGCTATCCAGGAGCTCCTCCCAGAAAGCTGGTATCAAATCCAGCTTACCTGGAGGAGTCTCATAAAGGTTTGTTGAATTATCTGGCTTTTGGGGAGGGAGTATTGCAACACAAGCAGCATTTAAAGCCAACCTGTTGAGCGGGCCCATCCTGGTGGACCAGCACATAATCCAGTTTTTCGGGAGGAGCCTCTTCCAGAAAAATACATCTAATACCAGCTTTTTGGAAGGAACTCCTCCCAGTCAGCTGGTATTAGAAGCAGCTTGTTGAGAGGAACCCCTTTCAATTTAGCATAGACTCATGCGGGATGATGTGCAATCCAATAGGACTGGCATCAGAATTGGTGGCCTCCTCTGACATTCAACCTGTGGGGCCTTCTGAAAAGCTGGTATTAAGATATAATTTGATTTCAAATCTGGAATATTCAGTCTAAAATAAGTGCTGACATACAGTAAATCATATTAATTTATGGTGTTTCTCATGTCTCAATCAGCAAAGAATGGGGAACAACCTTGTGTCAACATCAGGTAAATTCACAGGAAGTTAACAATCTTTTCCATGAAATTGAGAATAATTGCTGAGGAAAACCTAGTGACTTTCTTGTGAAACTCTTTTTTCATTTATGATTCTTAATTTCTTCTAGTGCTTCTTATAATCTTTTTTGAATATTTCAAGGTGAATTAGTTCAGACTTGCAGTCACTGGTGTTGAATTTTTGACCCTCTGAACGACTAGAGAAGAAGACTTTTGAGAAAGGGGCACAAAAAAGGTGAAGGCCTTCTTTGGGAAAGGTTCACGGAAAAAGATTGTAAAGAACCAATGATTTTCATTCTCTGCAGTTAGTCATGCTTAAATAGGCTAAGTACAAGAGGTCAAATTGTGGGTTGTAGTAATGAATAGAAAAAAGTATTTTGAATAAAAAATTGAGAGAAAATAAAATAAGTTCTTGGAAAATAACAAACTACTCTAGACAGTACTTCTCATTCTCTTGTAGTAAGGCCAGATGAGTTAGTCAAGAGAAAATATTTTAAGTCACAAATAACAAAAGGCGTTAATTCTTGTTAATCAATTTTTTGATAACACACAACAAGTCAGGAAAGAGAGAAGATAATACCGTGGAGACAAGAATATTGAGTTGAGCTTATGTGGTTCAAATTTGACTCAGTAGGAACTCAGAAAACAACAAAGACCTGCCATTTGGTAAGAATTAATCTAGTCTGATTGAGGGTGGTGAAAAGAGTAAAAGGGCAGAGAGAGACAGAATGAGGAAACTCAACACTAGCCAGTCAGTGCCCTGGAATTTACCCTGATGCATTATTTATATAAGTGTGAATCCCTTTTTATGAAGGTGGAATTGCTAAGGGAGATTGTGTGAATTGAGAATTACTTCAGAAATCATTCATGCCACTGCAATGTGTTTATCATGCTCAATATGTGAGTTCTTCATGACCTGCCACAGACTGGAGCACTGGCAAAACTCTCAAGCAAATGTTAGGACCTGTACATACTTTTCCTATGTAGCATCTTTACCCTTGTCAATTGCAATTATCTACTGTAAGCTATATTGTGTATCACATTTCAGATTGTATATCTAGGTAGTCAATCAAAGAAAAAGAAAGAAAAAAACAAGTAGATCAAAGCAGAATCAGAAGGAAAAAAAAGTGGAAATCAAGCCAAGAAAAGAACAGTTTTTGAGCATAACAACATAGCTTTTGTTAGTTAGATTTTAGTGTCAAATTATGTGACTTGGATTCATAACACAATATCGGAGAAGGATTTGACTTGTTCATTTGGTTAAGGGAAAAACATTGGGAGAAATTTTCCGGATATAGTGTTGAGAATTGTCAGATGATTTTTCATTGAGCAAAAAGATGGGATGAGAATCCAATAATTCTTGCAAAGCATTAATAAGATTTTGAGACAGAAAGGGAAAAGCTTTTAAACCATAGAAAGCCAAAGATGCCCGTCGACCTGACTCTTCTTCTGAAATACCGACATCAGGAACGGGTATAATGCTGGGTAGTGGGGGGCGAGGGGGTTTCTGAACATTTGTGAAGCTGTTGGATTTTGTCAACTTTGTTCTTTTATTTGGTCTAAAATCATTCAGACAGAAATAGAGGACAAGATACGGGTTTTGTTTTTGAAGCTTGATTCCTGCATGACTGGGTGTCCACTTCTTGGAATCGGCTTTGATGTTATCATTTTGCTGTAGATTCTTGACTTGAACACCTCCAAATGTAATGTTCCTCTTGTCTAGAGCTGCGGTCGGAGTGGATCGAAGGTAAATCGGAAAGAGTTGATCAAACCCAGGTTGCTTGGGTTTGCAATGGACCACCGACCCTCTATACAGGTTGCTTAACAGCTCAGCTGATGTCGGTGTGTGATTGATGGAAATGAAGTGATTCCAGAAAACATGTCCTTCACTCAAGAGTATTTCTGCATTCTCTTCATCGATTGAACCGAGTTTGAAGTCTTTTTTGTTCCAGCCAGTTAAAGTTTGCAAGAAGTTGACCAATCGAACTGAATGTCCAAATGGCATCGTGAGTTTCTCCAAATCGGTCTCTGGGTCTGCAGCAGATTGTGTGTTTGCCATTGTGATTTGCATGGCCCGAACTAGAATTATTAGGCTAACTAATTCACTGACATCGCTTGATCCAATCAAACGTTGGCGGTTCATCAAGGTAAGGACTTCAATACATTGGATTAAAGCAGCTTCATCGGATGCTAGGTACTGATTGGCTGCTGAAGAAAGGGTGAATTGGGAGGGGTATTCACTTATGAGTACGAGTTGGTCAATGTGTGCGCATTGCGCTCCATGGCTTGAAACAAGCTGGGCACTTAGATGTGAAGCTCCATACAGTTGCAGCTGTATGGTTGACCCAAGCAATGCAAACGCTTGTGGACCAGTCAGAGAGGCGGCCGGAACCGGCTTGTCATTTGAGTTTAGAAGCTTTTGAAGAGCGTATTGGGTCAAGCCTTCGACAATCTTGTGGTCTGCAATCCCGTTTTTCTTGGCCTCATCGGCATAAACACGCCAAAAAGGAGAGCCATACGATAAGAGTTGAGATGCAGATTGCAATTGGTGCCAATCTGCGGGCGGATGTGAAACGTTTGCATCAAAGGTTGGAATTTCGTAGATGGGGTTGAAGAGCTTTTTTGAATTTTCCTTGCCGATCCCATGACTGGGATCATTGTGTGACAGAGGGTGAAAGTTTGAAACCCGAGAGTTGGTGCCTGCAAGGATTGAAAAAAATCCCGATTCGGATGGTATCATCTGAAGAGTGTCGCGGAAAACGTTGAAAAACGATGAATGCGGGGAAGCACTACTCGCGAGTAATCCGCTGGCTTCGTCGATTGCCAATAGCAGTCTGAGATTGTTTTGCTCTATGAAGTTGGTACTATCCTTCACCCTCTGTAATGCCTCCGAAAGCTGGGCAGCCTTGTTGGTGGCAGTCAGAAGAGCCGATGTGGAGATCTCCTTCATCTTAGTCTCGACATTGATCCAAAAGGGTGGGTCACCAGATTGATTACTTTGCAGAAAGCTATGGAGAATCCATTGGTCTAATCTTTCTTTAATAGACCCCGGTTCTTGAGCAGAGAAGTAATCGGCCACAGTATGTAGGATGGCCAGGAGCAGATGTTCGTATTGACTTCGAGAGTAGTGCATTTGGAATCAAGAAGCACACTGGCAGCATATTCGGATCGCGGCGGATGACCAGGTGAATCTTTCATGGGGCGGATACAGATGTATACGACACATATGCGCCTCGATAACTCCATCATTAGTCGTGATTTCCCACTTAACGATGTTGCAATGAGTGAAGTATAAGCGGCCAAGTATTCTTCGGGTGACCACTGGGAGGCGAAGTGCTGGAGAGTCTGGAGAGTTGAATTCACGATGCGATCTTCAGTATCTAAATATTCATGATTGAAACCTTCTACAACGATTTTATCCTCCAGAGGCTGAGGTATTGAACGGAGAAGCGACTTGGCTTGAGAATATGACTTGGTGTCAAGTGCGGCGACTCTTCTATCATGATTGATTTTAGAAGCCAGAGAAAGCAGTGGATGCCGAAGTAAGCATGCGAGTCGGGAAACTTCTTCTTGAAGCTCAGGAAGTAGTTCGATTTCGTAGGTAGTAATAATGGTTTGAAAAGGCATTGATCTGTTGAGGAGTTGAGCCCAGTATTTTTTGAATTTCAAGGCTGATGTCGGATCCCTTTGATCGGTGGCTGTTGACAGAGTGTGTTTGAGTTTCTCTAGATCTTCAATTCGATCACTTCACCTTTAAGGTTACATTGGGGGGATGAGACAAGATCAGCTCACAATCAGAATCGAAATCAAAACGAATCTATGTATTTACGTACGCTCAACCTTTTCAAGCTCTCTGGGCCTATGATGTGGAAGCGTGACCGAATCTAGAAACAAAAAGTACCCCCAAACGCATAATGAAAGTGACATTGAAACCCTAAGATTTCACCATGAGCAAAGAGACCCTCAAGACGATTGTGTATTTAAGTATATAATTTTTGCTAGGTACAGTTTCTTGAACATATACATATCTCTTGCAAATGTCTTTATAGAAGAGAAATATGTACATAAACCATTCTTTTCTTTCAAGTCATCAGTCCCTCAGGCAAGGAGGGAATCAGTCAAGTTCAGATTGGAAGCTGGATTGATCCCCCAAAAGTTAAACCACGAGATTTGCACTCAGCAACACCACGTTCTCATACAGAGTCCAGCTCTCAGCCACATCGACTACTTGATCAGGACTGGAGTTGTTTAGATGTCCATTCTTCCAGCTTTCTTACACCATTCAAGCACTTATTACTTGAATGAACTGGATGAGTGCCTTGTCAATCAAGATCAGAAACACCACCCCTCATCGGAATCAGTGGAATGAGATCGTCAATCTGACATTTTCCCTGATCACAAATCTGAATCCATGATGCACATAGAATGCCTTTCATTACGCGTGGTCATCACATGAACGCAATAAAACATGAGCTGATTTTTTTTTCTCTTTGAAGATGTGGGTAGTGATGAGTGGGGATTTTTGCTTGAATTGATCAATTGATGTTGGTTGGTGAGGGGGGGATGTTACAGTAATGGTGACGAAATAATCACAAGGATGGTTTGATTGACTGAGTTGGAAAATTGTACATCTGGGTTGATTATCAGAATGAAAAAAGAGGCAAAAGAAGATATGAGGTTTTTTTTTTCTTCATGTATCCATATGTATTAACTATTGAAATGCAGATGTAAGGGGTAAGGTAAAATCATAGCCAGTTTGGTTTTGAGCGTGGTCATCAAGATCCACTCATTTCCGGTTATTGGATTGCATCAAGAGGATTTGAACGACTGGATATGCCAGAGTAAATAAGAATTTGTCAGCAAGGTGTGTGTGAACAGTGGATCAAAGAAGCAGCGGAGGAGGGGAGGAAGATGGATGGATTGAGGACTGACTTCGAATGAAAATATTGATCGAGTCCATAATTAACCCGACTGATTCATTGACCGGATCTGGTTTCATCCTTCCTTGTTCGACCAACAGTCCATGATTTAAGATTTTTTGTGTACTACAATCAAGCAATGACCACAAGTTAGCTTTTCATTATTCACTCAACCGGTCATTTACTCCAAAGTGAAAGAATCAGGGGGGAAGGGTCAGACTTACTCGTATAAGACAAATCCTGAAAATACGGCCAGACCTCCATACAGGGAGATCGATTCGGTGATCATGAGAGTTCTAGCGGCGGTGGCCGGCAAGACGAGTGGAGCGAGGGAGCTAAGAGCCACGACGGAGACACCAGCCAAGAGCGGCCCGCCGATGTAGAGAAACCGGTCGTTTTTGGCTGTTGCGCCGACGTACGAGAGCGAGCCTATGACGCCGACGGTGTAGAGTGCCGCGCGAGACAGGATGGCGGGGGCGTAGAAGTACATGGGTGAGAGGGCGGCGGCTTGACAGGCCGTGAAGGTCAGCCAGAAGCCGTACTTCTGGGCCGTGTTGTCTGGAGAGGTGTAACGGGTGCCGAGCATCGAGCCTATGGTGCCCAAGAATCCAACTCTTTAGACATCCGGTCATCATCATCATCATCATCAGTTTTTTGGTCCAGCCGCTGGATGATTGCTAGTTGACTTATTGACATACCCAACGAAGACTAATGGGTTCACCATCATCATCCGCATCGTCCATCCATTCTTAAACATGTATCGGGCCAGGACAGAGGTGATTGCTAAGCCGACTCCGGTATGTTGAAAGCTTGAATTCAGCAAGTCTTTTTGTGCGGCGCTGAGTGGCTCGATCCTCTTATCTCGATTGAGAAATCCATCCAGTAGAACCAGCTGAAAAATAAACCGGCCAATGTTTGATGAGATCGTCAATTCTCTATCTCTCTTTATGTTATCTAATGGTAGACTCTTCTTACCGATCCGACCAGACCAGCGGAAGCGATAAAGATCTGTCTGTAGTTGCTGTTGGTTTTAGTTTGCTGGAAGATGGACAGTCGATTGGCCTGGTTTGCGGTCTGATTTGAGCAGGAGAACCAACGTTGTGCTGAGTTCGTTCGCATAATGAGCGAGCTGTTGGTAGGTCTTGAGCGTAGACATGATACGATTGATCGTGTGAATTGGAGGTTGTTGTTGTGAGTTAGCTTGAGTGGTTGTTGCTGGAATAGTAGTCTGTTGGTTATTGTCAATCGTGGTTTGAGGAATGACATGCTGTTGTGGTTTGAGGTTGGTTTCTGTTGAGATTGTGGTCTTTTCGTTTTCTAGTTTGTTCTGTGCTGGTTTTTCCCCTCCAGTTGTTGTCTGCTGATTCGCTGGCAATGGGTTGACTGTATAATTCCGGTTCTGGAAAATTCCATCCCCCCGTCTTGCAATCACCACTCTCAAGAATCAAACTTCACCTTCCATCGGCGAGCATCAGCCTATCCATCAGATCACCACCTTCACATCTTCCCAATTAGCCGTAGCTAAGACGCCTTGCCTCTGTGATCGACAGCAATTGACCGTTTCTGGTCATCTCAGCTCGAGGCATCTCAAACATCGGATGTTTATTATAGATTGACTAGCTCTTTAGAGAGAGAGATGATTTTAAATTGGAAACAATTTTATGTGAAAAAGTATTTTGGGGAGCTACATTAAAAAACATGTGGGCCAGACTTGTGTAGAAGGCTATTTCGGAGTGTACAATCATCAATCAACTTGACCACCAAAAGAATGTTTCGGAGCTCAACGCATCCAAAATCAAATCAAACCAGGTTGTTCATCCCCCATCCAGAAGAAAAAAAAAAGCCTATGTGGCATTCTTTCCGTCTTTTTTAGATCACCATGAGGGATGAGCAAATTACGGGGCCTGTTATGTCGATGAGAGGTTGTGGTGTTAACTTGACACGACCAACAGGACGGATTGTAGACGGACACCAACGGAAGAAGAGAGACTGACCTCCAAGACCATCTGCATGAATTGCTCATAGGACATTTGAACCCAACCGTCTCGGTCGGTATCGGCGCGTTGGAAGGCCTCAGTCAGGGACTTCACCACAACACAACTACCAGAAGACATCACAGTAAGTATCATTTCAGTCTGACGGACGGAGCGCCTGTGATGATGGCTAAGTGAGATGGATTAACATACCATCGGACAAAGCGATCTGTTCATGATTTCAAGTAGCAAAGTCAGTTTAGTGGTTGTAAGTGAGTTACTGAGCAAATAACACCTACCAAAGGTTATTCCTCCCTCACGGTTGCGCTGAGTAGCTATCGAGCCTGTACCTTTTGCGGGAGAAATCACTTTTTTGAAAAAAATAAATAAAGTTGGCCACCCCCCAGTCAGCTATTTTATTCACTCGGTCGATCAAACAGAAAGGTCACGAACATATGGTTGCAGGACAAGGATGTGTATTCTTTATGGAAGGTCATCATGCTTCCCGAACATGGAATGTGGTGGAAAATGAGAAAGCTCACCGTATTTTCTTTGGAGCATTTGGAGGAGATGAGGGGGAAGTCTAAACCCAAACTGTTCAAGACAGAAGAATGGATGCGATAATAACAATCAATCATTATGAGAAGAAGAAGATGAAGAAAAATAAAAATAAGGTGGTCAGTTGAAGCATACGTATAAGCAAGAAAAACATACTTGATCGAGTGCGTTGCGGAGTTCATCGCCGGCGATCGTGCCCGACCGATCGGCATCGAAATGTTTGAAAACACCTTGCCTGCAAAATCGGTTGGTTGTAGCCATTGAAAATTCAACAAAAACCAGTCGAACTATGTCAAGGATTAATAAAGGCAGGACTAGACTTACCAATCTTTGATGTATTTCCATAGTCCAGCAAACTCGTCAAATCCGATCGTTCCGCTTCGATCAGTATCGAAAATGTTCACTGCAAATCCCATCCGAGTGAGGGATTCCAGGCTATTATAAGTCATCATTTTTCCAAGCTGAAAAAAAAAAAAAAAAGATAATCAAAGCCGAACTTACTCAACATTTTCACAGTATCTAAATCGAAGGCGGTCCAATCGCCATTCACCAAGGCCTGTTGCAACTCGAGCGCGGTGATGTTCCCGCTGTTATCGCTATCAACGGCCGCGAACCATTGACGTAACTGGGGGTCGATCCTGACGGTGGGAGGTCGTGGTCTGAAGGAGCCACCGGAGGGTTGTGGGTTGCCCGGTGGGGGTCCGCCGGGTGGGGGTCCATGAGAATGATGGCCGCCAGGGCCGCCAGAATATTGATTCGGAGGTTGCCCGCTCGGCGGTCCTCCATAGCCCTGGCTGGGTGGTTGCCCGGCCGGTGGTCCTCCATAGCCCTGGCTGGGTGGTTGCCCGGCCGGTGGTCCTCCATAGCCCTGGCTTGGTGGTTGGCCACTGGGAGGTCCGTAGCCTTGTTGTCCCGGATGGCCACTGGGTGGGCCATAGCCTTGGTTTGGCGGTGGGGCTCCGTAGCCCTGACTCGGAGGTTGTCCTGGTTGGCCACCTGGAGGTCCATAGCCTTGAGTTGGAGGGGCATACCCTTGCCCATAACCTGAAGTTTGACCAGCCTCACCTCGTCAACTATATAATCCATCATTGTAAGAAGTGCTTGGGATAAATGGAGGGGCGACTCACCTTGATTACCACCGTAAGACATCACTGACCGAGATTGAGAGTATTTCAAGTTAGACGTTCGTTATCGTGTTTGATATAGTTCCACTGGTTTGATGGTTGCAGTTCGTTCTGTGGTTTTTGGTTGGGTCGAAGACGACTGGCCAGCGCTCTTGAATGTATGCAGTCTACAAGGCGGAGCATGCCCCACAGCAGGGGCTCCAATAATGCCGATCTCGATCGGTAATCGACACAGCTCTGCGGTGACATCATATCATCCAAGTTGTCATCCGAGCTCACTCGCTGTTATGCGCCCAGTCTTGTCGATTCCTATTTTTTTGTGACACTGCACAAACTCACTACCAGCGTGTTTCCAGCGCAAAATCAAACTCAATTGTATGTAAGGAGCTGTTTTACACGAATAGTTTTCTCTCCCTTCCTCTATAGGAACACCACTCTGGAACCACAGCAGGCACCAAATGTTTGTGTGAGGACCTTGACAAAAGCATCTCTATCTTGCCTATGACCGAATCCAAAGCTCTCACTAACAAAACCAACAGGATGGATTTTGCTCTTCTGGTTCTTCATCCACTATAACAAATGAAACCAGTGATGATTCAAGAGTTAACAGTTCTCCATACAGCAAAACTAGGTTAAGGCCATGTTCCTTAGGAGAAGGATTTCTGTATGTCTATATATGGGTTAATGTGTCCTTAGAGGCAGTGAATTTGTAGCTCAGCATTTGGGAGGAGTTCCTCACTATGCCTTTAGGCAGGTTATGTACACAGAGGGGTAAACACTCAGACAGGTTTCTCTGGATCAAAAAAAATATAATCATCATTGTAAAAAACTCCATAACTAAGAATCTGGATACCACCAAATCCTCTATGCAAAGGAGAGAGCTTTTTTGTAACACTACTGATCTTGCAAAATTTATGTGACTATGTCTGGAGGCATAGCAACAGAAAGAAAACTCAATTAGTCTTAACAAACAAAGAGATCAGGCCAGAGATATGATCCATAGACATCTTATGGTGTAGAAGATCTTTGCCAACTTGTAGACAGCTTACAAGGATGATCTGATTAGCCCCTTTGTAGCCTTATGAGTGGCTACGCATAGATGTCCTTTTTCAGTACATATTAAATAACCAAATCACATGAAATAAATATCATAATTGGATGTCATTTTCGTTTCTCTCATTTTTTCTGAAAAGTTTATGATTGGATGTCATTTTCCTTTCGCTTATTCTTTATCTTGTACATACTTTCACTTAGCTCTTGTTCACCTCCCTATCACCCATTCGTAGTGAATACAGGCAGCTTACTAGTATGCAAATGCATGAAGAAGTGACTTCCTCAATTTGGAGGATCACTCAAAAAGTTGACAAAAAAGATAGCTAATTCTTACAAGAGAACTCTGAAAGCCATTACAGCATACAACTGAAATTCCTCAAGTGTGACTGGTGTCCCCCCCCCCCTCAATATATACATGTAGGAAAACCTAGATGTTCTCCAACCATGCCTCTGTGTGAATTTGAGCTAAAGCAACCAAAGCAAAAAATGCTAGATTATCTTGATTTGGTTTATATTTACATGATTCAATTTTTCTCATCATATTCCAAGAACAGAAAATAAACCAAACCAAAAAAAAAAAAATTCTAGACCAATCATTGTACTTGAAATCAAATATGAAGATGGGGAAGGATATCCGGTGAGAGATAGCAGGTAATGTCCTTGGGAGAAATTTGATGAAGTAAATTAAATGGATGTGTTAAAAGGGACAAGTCAAAGGAATGAATAAGTAATAAAATAGTTGATTGAATGTTCACATTAGCTTTTCCATACATGCATCTTTATATTTATATCAGAAAGGGAAAAAATGAGTCACGGTAACAAGGTCAAGTAGTGAGATTTTGATCGAAGAGGATGATCACCCAAATGTTTAAACTTGGAGAGAAGAATGATTGGTATGCTGGGGGTTTGATGTGGACAGATGAGATTGCTCCTAAGGTCACGATCGGGAATAAGGATGGTTAGTATGCTGAGGATAACGGCCTGGAGGTATCGACGTGGCAGCTTCGGAGGCTTGATCGAACCGTTCCAGCGCCCCAGTACCGTAAAGCTCCATGATCTCCCTATCGACCAGTGGGGGCCCTTCTTCAGGATAGTCGAAACGATGCTCATGCTGGATGGGTGGATTGTAAGCGGATTCGAGATGATTCGGCAGAGATCCAAAATCGAACTCGGTGTATGGTGCCTCGCTGTGGTACTGGCCAGTAGGTAGTGGCGGTTCATGAGCGTAACCGCCATATTCACTGCCATAACCCCCATAATCACTGGTAATAGCAATTGATCTGCGAGTAACAGCGTGTCTGTCGTTGGTATAATACTGCTGTTCTTCACTTGAATACGACGGCGCATGGTTCAGCGAGGAATGGGTGTCGGATGGCAATTGGTGGGCCAAAGGATGTAGACCGTATGGATGGGTGCGCGCTCCATGGATCTGGCCATTATGACCATACACACTACCGGCCGTAGGGGCTTGATGAGCAACGAAGCGACCAGTCCTTTATTAACCACAATAAGCCGTCACGTTAGCAATCGTAACTCGAGGAAATAGCAGTAGCTTTGCCAGGTTTGTTTCCTCTTTTAGCTTGTTTAGCTTATGATGGAGGTGACCCAATCAAACTAGACTGGCAGCTGAATGGTTGCTATAAGAGGCGAGAAATTCAAATGAAAAAAGACGAGACTTACGATGCAATGCTCTCAGCATACCCTACTTTCTCACTATATTCTTGCTCGCTTGGCCACCGATTGACGACGTTGTAGGCCATGCCTAGACCGCCACCAGGGTTGCTGGCGGGATAATGATGATTGAGTGATGATGGATAGGGGTGTTGAGCGGCACGTGAGACGGTTCTGATGCTGTTGGCAGTCCCCGTTCTTTCGCTCTTGGTATCACTAATCAGCTCGTGAAGTCCGATTTGAGGCAGCGTTGGCTGAGGAAGCGGGGCAGCTTTAAATTGTCCCTTCTTGTCCTTGAGATGAGAATAATCACCCATGGCTTCTTTGCGCATGAGGGCAGCTTCCTTCGCCAGTCGCTTTCGGTGTTTGCGCTTCATTAATTCAGCGATTCGCTGGAAGAGAGCACATTAAGTTAGACAAAAAACCCACAATCACTAGAGCTGATAAGACAGACTGTGCTTACTTTGTCTACCTTGTGACAGCAGTATTCTTTCAAGTTGCCTTGTATATAGCACAAAAGAGGAACATACAACAAGGCGGCAGCCACAAGGAGTAAGAAGGAGCCAACCCAAATGGTGACTAATGTTCGCAGATGGGTTCAGATGTTCAGTACGTTAAGAGGAGTCACTTGGAGTCAACTGCAGAGGCAACGTACCGGTAAAGGCCATGGAGAGCAGGACAGAAGCCTTGGCGAAGCTTCCCTCATACCACTTCGAGATATCAGTCGTAAAATTAACGGACCTGGCGAAGGAGTAAAGAGTGATTCCATTGATTACTTGTCGAGGTGCATCGGCCAATAATAGTCTCTTCCACCCCTTGAAAGTGAAGAAGACAAAGAATGCAAAGTCGTCCTTTTTCTTTTTGGAATTGTTAATCTGGGAGAAAAAGCAAAAATGATCGTAGGATTTCATGGAATAGTAGTTATTCTATGGTTTGACCATGATTCAGTTGTAGGGGTACATTCGAAATTTTTGGTGAGAAAAAGATTGTTAAGTGAGAGATCGACATGAAGAAAAGAAAAAAAAAAGAATCAGCAGATGAATTCTCAACAGAGGAAACAAAAATAAGAGAGTTCCTTACAGCCATGACGTTGGTGAAAGCATAACTAATATCACGACTTTTGATGATTGCCCTACTCTTCTTCGCTTCCCAAAAGAGCAAGAGGAACGAGAAGATGATACAACCAAAGAAGATCCACTTTCCGACTTTGAAGGGTACGTTCATTGCGCTACGTCCGGCTGAGCTCTCTAAGATCGAACCTGCCCAATGATTTGAAGCGAGTAAAAGCACCATCGTATAGATATCCGAGGCATAAACCAAAACTGATTTGATGACTAGGACGTATAGGAAGGAATACCTGCGACATAATTTATGCAATATTTGTAGAGAATGATTAGGCTATTTTGTGCTAAGTAATTTTTTTACCAGTTTGATTGAAAGATGAACCTATCAGGAGGAGGAAGACTGACTGAAAATAACTCATAAGACCCGAAGTATGAAACTCTCGAACGTCGACAAAGTCCCATTTGTGATCTGGCACCTCTTCTCGTTTCCATTGTGGCCCACTGCAACACATTGGGGTGTCGCGATTGAAGCTTGAAGCGGATTGCTGAAGTGATCAAGAATGATTGGAATTTAAGACTCTTAGAGGGAGTGTGGGCTTCGAAATGTACCTTTTTTCTTTTTCTTCTTCTTCTTCTGGCAGCTTGTCTTTCACTTGTGTTGATATGTTTGATTCCCTTCTACCGGGAAAACGTTCTTCAAGAAAAAGTAGGAAAGCGTATGACCGATCTTGTTGTAATTCATGTGGTTGAGGCAGCGCTGTATTGATGTATGTGATGTGGCATTGGAAAAACTGAGGAGAATGTATGTATGTATCCTTTCAGCCTCTTTTCACTCCTCTAGTGGTGTGAGCTGAGGAAAGATCCACATAATAAGTCGACAGTGTTATAGATTGCTATACTATGCAGACACACATTTGAAGCTCGGTCGTTGGAATTCTTTGAGATCGAGGCCGGTTGTTGCCAGATAATTATTGTCGTCGTGGTCACTGAAATGAAATTTAGGAGGGGGAGGAAGGGATGAAACTCTCTTACCTAACAGCAGCAACAACAACGGCTGCCGGTTGCAGCACTCGTCCATCAGACATGACTCTCTTGCTCTCTTGAGGTGAGGCGAAAGGACGAGCTCAGACATCTCGGCCATCCTCTGCCTCTCTTGACCCTACACCACGACTTGCAATCAGCCTTGCAGGACTGATTCCGAGGTTCCAGTTCCCGGTTGCGACTGCTCACCACGCCCAAAAGTCATCTTCATGAAAATTCCTCTCAGTTCCCAAGCATCCAAGTCACAAGTTCAACCCAACGCGCGTGTATCGACATGCCAATACTCGACCGAATGCATGATATGTAACCATCCCAAACTTGGTACCGATGAAGACCAAGAAGTTACTTTATGTATTGTCACGCTTGGACCACCATGCCTGCACTAAGTTTCACTTGTATGCCATCTAACCCCCAACTCGAAATCCAAAACGTATAGCTTTGACGAGATTTGAGAGGCTGGCTATTTCTCTCTCTGAAAAGCCTTGTTCTCGGCACGATGGAAAGTTGGCAGCCCGCCGGGAGCCCCGGATCCTATTCCCAGCTCATGTTCTCTACGACTCGATACTCTAGGGGTTTAATAGGGGGTTGGTCAATTTTACAAGTGATTTCCCTCATAAACTTGGCAAAACAAGAAATTTGCATTCATCAAGTGATTGTTTTTGAAGCTGAGTTGGCATTCTCTTCTGGAGGGCTTGATTGATTTTTGGAATAAAAGTGAGGATATGTTGTGCTTCTCATACAGCCATTCCTGGATCTCCTATAATACAGTTGGATTCTCTTGATCAAGGCACATCTGGTTATTTGCTTGAATATCCTCTGGAGCTTTCAACTTTGGTCCAAATTACTGTCACTCAACATTGTTTGACATAACACAGCCCCTCTTTTCAAAAATCTCTACCAATTGTTATATCAAGCTGAGAGAAAGACTGATGTGGTGGTTTCTCTTGATGTCTTCAAGGGCTGTGTTCTGCTTCCAGAAATCCACAAAAAGTACTTTGGTGCATGAGATGACAAAGCAGTGTGAAATAGATTTTCCTGTGTTCTGACAGGTTGTTAATGTGTCAAACACATACATCAAGGACCCAACCAGGGAATCTGGAACAACTTTGTGTTGTCTAATTTCAAAACTTACAACACACTCTGGATTATTTTATTGGGGATTTACTGATGATTACAACACTGACTCCCTTTTTTTGGGCCAGGTGTTATAATAACTTGAGTTTGAAAGGAAGAGAAGTCTCTCCATTTCTCAATGGACAGCATGACTTGGTGGGGGGGGCTCATACTTGAACCCAAATCTCAAAGAACTTCAAGTCAGCTGATAATTAGAATAGAAGAGGGCAGCACAAAGTAGTTATTCTTGAAACAGTTCTGGGTGGAAAAAGAAAAGGACATGAAGGAGTAGAAATAATGGTGACTGATTTTCTGTAGCTAAATAGCTGGTTCCAATAGAATTGTAGTTACCAGTAAGTCAAGCAGCTTTTAAAATTTGAAGTAAGAATTGATAAGCCATAATAACCAGGTTTCATGGACCACCAGGTATGTTGGTTAGACATTCATATCAGAGGTGTTGACAGAATATGGAGATGAGTAGAATTTATCAAAGGAGAAAGTTCATAGAGAAGGAACTGTTTGGGATAAGTAGGAAAGGGGAGAAAGAATTAACAAGAAGATAGTTTTGATAATTTTAAAAAACCGGGATATAATTGGTGAACAGATTGAAAGGGAGGGTGATGTTGCAGAATTGGAGCCAACTTGGGGGTGGAAGAAAGTAGACATGTCTGAGAGAACAAATAATCCATAAAATAGTTGCCAAAGTTGACCAGCCATGTTGTACAGATATGTCTCCAGGTACTTCTCTTTCCACAGGTGTAAAAATCCTATACTTATGGAGCACAACAACCACCACCAGAACTTGCAACAGTGACCATCAAGGGATCAGGGCCCCTTCTGTGACCACCACCAGTTCCGTGCCCACGTCTTGGTGGTTGTTTTTTTGTCTTTTTTCCGCCCCATGACAAACACCCACTGGAGACATCCAATAGTTTATTCTGGCCTATATGTGAAAACCTTTTGACTGACAAAGTGTGGCAGGATATACATATTTCAAGAAATATATTTACATACCATATTGTGAGCCAAAGACTTGTTAGACTATAGTATACTGCAAGGAGAATCAGAACAGGTGCTTACCCGCTGGATCAGCCAATGTTGGCATTGACAATCCTTGATGACTGAGAGTCATAAAGGCCAAAAAACAGAAAAACAGTGAGCCTTGCATTTTCAAGCACGCAGTGAATGTAATCCTAAAACTGGATTCTACAGTTAGGCTCTCTGAAGAATGAGTTGTTCAAGTTTGGGGTTGGGAAACAAGACCCACTTTTGACCGGTGCTTATGTAGTTGTATATGGGAAGGCTGCACCCACATGGACAAGCCTGAAAGGGCATTTGGGATAAGCTCTGATTCAAGCAGTTGAAACATGTTTAGCTCATTCACTGCAACCCCAGCAAGATCACACTCATTTTGATGGCCTGGTAGCAACATCAAGTGCAATTTGCTGGGCCATACATACAATCTAGCCCCGCAAAAATGACAGTATTTTATGTTTTGGAATAATTATCAGTGGGAATGGTATGTATGTGAGCACACAATGACTGTGATAGGACATAACCAGTGAGGTACATCCAACCACCTCAATGAATGAGCTGGGGTTGCCACAGCCCCATAAATGAGTTACATACATTGTATTAGCCCCGCTGATCTGAAACTCTCTTGTTTATTTTGTGGCAACAAGCGCAGCCACCCAGCTCATAAGTGCTCTTGTATGGGCCCTGTTTTAGAGCTTCTGGTGGGTGAGTCCAATCCTTGATGACTGAGATTCATGAAGGCCAAAAAGCAAAAAACCAATGAGCCTTGCATTGTAAAACAATATTTATTCCTATACATTATGTACATATTTTATAATACATAAATTAATAACATATGTATAAGAATCAGCTAGTAGAAGCGTGAAATGGATGAGGAATAAGCTATATAAACTTATCTGAAGCTTACCCATCCTTGATCACATCATCAGGGCATCAGATTGCATCATAACCCTCTTGGATGGTGTCATCAGGACCCTTTTGTGCTCTAATTCAAAGCTTGCATAATTCAAAGTAGCCTACACGGGAAAGGAGCCCAAATTCTACATGCAAGACTGAATTATGCATGCACCACATGCATTTCTCATGATCACAAGCTTGCATAAGCAGAGTTACATGTATGCAACTAACCATACAATTGCACAGCCCCTGCACAGTAACTGCAGCTCTTTCAATTACGTGAGAAATGGGCCATAAATTCAATTATGCATGTATGATATCATGTCCTAGGACCTTCAATCAATGCATAGCACTGCACAGCTACAGTTCCCATGTTTACACAAAACTGTAGAGCTGCTAAGAAGCTCCCTAGTGCCCTGAGGACCTCTCTCCTCTTCCCCTGAGCCCCCTGTAGAATATTTAAGGAGCCCTGATTCCTACCTTTTCCCCCCAGGAAATTCTAGTAGCATCAAAACAACACTTGTACTGTGATTATTAGTGACTTAGACCACCAATAACTCTACAAATCAGCTACCTTAGACCTTAATAGATTTACTTTGCTCAGTATCAAGGCATTTCTACTTATCTCTATTGCATAAATAATTACCCCCCAGGTTAAACAATTCTGGTCCTTAAGTGTTGATACACTTATTGATCTGAATTGTTGTTAACTTATTGATCTGAATTGTTGTTAAAAGACTTATCCCAAGTGAGTTGAAGAAGTCCTCACCTTGGAAGCCTATTAATCCATGCAAGAGGATTGATCCGGATGCCCAATTGAATAATTGGATGAGTCAGCAGTAGAAGCACCATTCCTCACTGACTCCTCCCTGTTTCTTCTACAGGTTGAGGGATTTAACCACACATAAATCTTCTTCATTACTCTTCTTGTGTACACTCAGAGCACAACCCTTACAGGTTAGTAGCATAGAGGCTGACACACCTTCAATTCATTCAATTAGAAAATGTTTTTTTTTCTCCAACTCAGTCTAGTAACTAGTTATGCAGTAACATCTACTTTTGTCTGTCTGTCCTCTGCATGCAGGAAAAACTCACTAAAGATCAGGTAGGATCTTAGGATACTGACACACCCACTACCATGTGATACTATGCCATCTGTTGATTCTGGTCAAATTAAAACCAAATCCTCTGTGATGATAACTTGCCTGGATAGCTCATGAAAGTATACTGAATTGGCTCTTGGTATTACTAAGATTTAAGTTATGGTCAAATTTTCCATGATCATGAGGATACCTGAAAATCTATTGATTGCATGACATCTCTTTCCTTTGCAAACAAAAATCTCATTTGGCTCATGACACATGAGAATTCTAACAAGTTAAGACTTCCCATCACGTAGATCAATAGTAGGAGGAGGGAAATTGCCTTTTGTGGGATAAGAGGGAAGAAGGGAACAAACAATCATGACAGGAACTCAGCTAGATGACTCTTTTTTACTGAAGTGGCCTGGATTTTTCTCAAAGAAAATGCGTGTTTATATGATGAGAAAAACCAAGTGAAAAGCATTTTAGAGAGGAAGTGAGAGAAAAGAAGACTCTATGCAACAAGCAGCAATGAAACTGAGAGTAGAAAGTACTAAATCGTTAACCGGATTACAATACAGGTGTGGGGCCGACAAGTTTTGGGCCATCGGGATTGAGGAGCGCCTTCTCATGGCTTTCCATAAATTGGCGAAATCCCTTTAAGGCTTCGCCAGTCAAGGGGCGGGGGGTAGAAATGCCGGGAAGGTCGGTCTTGTTCAATTCCTCAATGATCTTGTTCCTTGGCATATATTCGAGTTCAACTCGAGCCTTCGAAGATTTTCCAGCGGCTGGGCTGGCAAAGTGTTTATTGTCCCACATGAAATCCTCGGTTCTTGAGTTAATATTTTTTTCCAACGTTTCCTTTACACCACTATGGATTCTTTTCACTTCCTCGTCGGTTAGTTTCGTATCCAACATGCGGGAGAACATGTCATTTCGATACAATTCCAATCGGCGCTCCATCTTAGCGGGATAGGCCATGAGCTTCACGTCGCGGAAAGTGTCGTCGTATGCAGCACGGCTGTCCGCAAATTCCTTTAGTTTCCCCCCCTTATCGAATATTCGGTCGTAGTTTTTGATAGCCTGCGTAGGACCAGCATGCAAATCTATGTGAATCGCATCATTGTATTTTGAAGACGTGGTGGATCCTTTCACTGGTACATGCGGCTCGGTAATATCCAGGACAAGCGACTTGATCGACTCGGGGGATGTAGGGGCGGCCGCCCTCGGCTGTGTTTGTGAAAGGCTGAGGCCTAGGAGGGTAATGAGCTGACGAATCTGCATGGTGTGGGTCTAAATGTGACGAGTAAAATGTAGAGACTGGCAAAAAAATTCTCGATTTTGAAGAATAAATTAAAACACGAGAGATGAAAAACAGCAGCGTGTAGCTCAGAGGTATTGAATGTGCTACGGGTGTGGTAATGTGCTCGAATGCCCTGGAGTTACCCTCCCAGAATACGGAAACTTGGGGGGTATTTATACCTTTGCTCGCTTGGTGAGAGTTGATTCAAGCCCGGTAATCTATGCTGATGCATGAGCTCCAGCTGAGATGACTTGAGCTGGTGGCAATACTTCGACCAAAACGTATCGCAACGGCGAGCTGTATGAGCGTTTAAGCCTTTTGCTCGTCTCACAATGATCATAACAATGGCCCCGGGGCATTGGCTGTTGTCTTCCGAACAGCTGTGAGCTGCCTCTGAGAAAGAGTCAAATAGAGTCTATATGACACCTTGATGTAGGACGGCTTGATCGAAGGTGCCGGCCATCGAGAGGAGAAATGTTCTCCCGCTGTCCTCATGTCTTACCTTCGCTGAATCAACACCTAGATAGGTGTATCTATGCGGTTGTCGTGTAAGCAGCCTTACAGGACATTGGCTTCACATCGACGGCAAGAGTCTTGGCCTCGTAAAAGTTTTTCCTTGAGATGTGTGGTGATTATCGATACATAGTCCTTGTTACGAAACGAGTTAGAGAAATCAAAGAGAGAGGTTTAGGCAGCCGAAAGCTTGATCGCGCTCAAGAAAAAGGCTCATCCGGCCGGATAGAAATTACTAGTGCTACACAGTATTTTGTGTTTTGGAATAATTATCAGTGGAAATGGTATGAGAGCACACATGAATGTACAGTGATAGGACATAACCGGTGAGGTATGTACGTCCAACCAACTCGATGAATAAGCTGAAATTGCCACAGCCCCATAAATAAGTTACATTGTATTAGCCCCGTTGATCTGAAACTTTCTTGGATATTTTGTTGCAACAAGCGCAGCCACCCAGCTCATAAGGGCTCTTATATGGGCCCTGTTTTAGAACTTCTGGTGGGGGAGTCAAAGTGGTGCAGTATTAGTAATTACCATTTGCACAGTCATAGTATCAGAGGTCTCGGCAGCTCCCGCCCGTCATTGGTTGGAGAAAGTCCAGGACTGCGTTGACTAAAGCACGTTCTTATATTATTTTCGCCCACATAGGTTGGCCAAGCCATAATTGATTATACTTCTCATGAGGCCAGAGTCTTTCGAAAAATGAACTTTGTACAGGCCAAACGCCTTCGATGGAATCTGTGTCAGGCCACATTGGATGGATGAACTTCTTGCCTGCTGAAAGCAGTCATTAGATAGTTCAGAGTTGTACACGTCGCAAATCGCTTTCTGATAGTTGACATAGATAACAGTTTGGAAACTCCAAATGAGACACTCATCTGTTTTCAAGGTGGCTTCCAATGCGCCATTCCCTTTTGCTTTATCTCATACATATTTTTTAGTAGAAAGAGAAATAATCGGCAAAAAAACTGACAAACTACAGAGCTTGTGGGGCTAAAATCTGTAATGTATGAAAGATTACCAACACCTTGGATGCACAACCCAGACAAGTTAAAAGAATGAGGATGGAGATGTTTGGTTTTCCATTGGTAGCGTATCCATACACAAAGCAATTCACTTGACTTCGAGTTGGTTGACTATTGGATAGATTGGCTGAGCCTGTGTGCCTACATTAGAGCAAGAAAAAGCTGAGGAGGGCCTCTTGACGAATATGTTTCACAAACATTTGATAAGGATCGGATAATAACATTTAAACAACTACAGCCCAATCACTGGGAATTTCACCAGTCTGTCGTCCTAAGATTTCACGCTGAACAACGTTCGCAAATACGCCCAACCCGCCAGGTCCCACTGGTACATGTATATCTTTCCCTTTGTAGCTATTCATGTGAAATTGCAACGATAGAGAAAACAAGAAAAACGTGTCAGCTACATTTAGCGTGGGACAATGTGTATCGGAAATGAATAAATAAGAGAAACAAACCCAATTCTTTCAACAGACGAAACAATAGCAGCAGTCCCTGTGCCAAAAACCTCTTTGAGGTGCCCCGTCTTCGATTTTTCGAGCATCTCGATCATCGTGATAGGTCGTTCAGATAACTTGAACTTCGGAGGTAGACCGTCTAGACGTTGAGATCCGTCCAAGTGACTTCTCAATAGTTCCAAAACTGAACACCGTGTGACTCCTGGTAGAATTTTATCGTCCAAGGGCGGGGTTACTAGTTCTATCGCTGTAGGCAATAATCCATATATTCATCGGTCAGATGAGACGAGGTTGAGTTAAATAAATTGATCAGGCCATGTCGATTATCATACACAGCGCTCTTATGTAACTACTGCATTTTCGTTTGAGTATTGAAAGGTCAAGATAAGAATCGAAAGTATACTAACTTCCTGATTTGTCTTCTAGTGCAACGAACAAATTCATGGTCCCGACTTCAGTGAGGTTATCATTCTCTCCGAATAGCCAAAGGATTTGTTCAAAGCCGTCACTATTAGCCTCCATCTGAGGTAAAAAGCCAGTTGGATAATTCGCTCCCAGTTTGAAAGCGCCAGATCCACCAGGCCAAGCTCGGCAGTACTTGGAGCTAGCAAGTAAGGAGACCGGTTTGAATCCAGTTCGATAGTATGGTCCGACGGGTGAGCAAATCACAAATAAGGTCAGTTCTGTCGGTGGCCCCACTCCTAAACCAGCCCCTGTCCCGATGATTGTTGGTCGAATGTATAGTGAATGTCCAGCTTCGGTCGGAATCCATTCTCCTTCCAATTTGACTAATTTTTTTATCAATTCTAGTAATTGTTCTCCTTCAAAACTCTGATTCGGATAGAAAAAGGAAACACCAATGAATTAGTGAATGAATACGTAATTAGACAACTATCAGTAGTAATAATAATTTTATATTTGATCGATCGAATAATTTCTTCCTGAAGAAAAAAGTTACAAAACTGGAAATGCCAAACGTCGAGCACTCTGATTCATTCGTTTCATGTTCATTTCAGGGCGAAAGAGACGGATCTTGCCATCGTTGGATTTATAAGCCTTCATACCCTCGAACAAACACGTAGCATATTGAAGAACAGACGCGGAGGGATCGATTTCCAGATTTCCGTAGGGCTTGATTTCGGGTGCTTTCCATCCATCTTGTCTGGTCCACTTGACTATTAACATATGATCGGTGAACGTTTGGCCAAACTTTAATTCTGATGCTGGTAATTTGGTTCTTGGTGCCTCAGTAGTCTTGATCACCAGATTAGAAGCCTAATTTTTTTTCCGCGGAACCCAAACATCAATGTAAGCTGAACGTGTTGATACAAGGGAGACTTCGGCAACGAGCTCACCTCGATACCCGATGTATTGGCTGATTGGCTTAGATTGCGATGGCAAGTTGAAAAGGGGTGGTGAATGGTTGAACTGAAGTGGGTGATATCCAATGACCCAGACGGCTTCCTCATGCATAGTGAATGACTGAGACGACATATCGGCCGGGCTGCTGGTGAAAACATGCTGGTAGTGGTTTTGAAGCAGATTGTTTATGTAGGAAGTGAGGGAAGTCCTTTGGAAGTCATCAGCTGGCAATCGGGCGAGTTCCGGGGTCGAAACGGCAGGGTTTACAAGCATCCTGCATACATACATACTGCATAGCCCCCCGCCCGCCCGTTTGAACAAGGAGCGGCAATTGGGCATCCGCACTGGAAAACGGAACGGAGAGTCACCCTCAGTCCAGAAAAGCAGCCAAGTAGCTCTCCAGACTGGGCACAACATGAGACAAAGAGACTGATTATCAATATCTATGGCACAGTTCATCGTACACCATAGCCACCTTCTTATGGGAGGTTTGTCAGAAAGATGTTAATGTTATCCAGGGGGCAGGGCAAAGGAGATAGAACATCCAAGCATTGATCCGATTGGATCCAAAAACCCCTGCACCTAATTTGTGAAATGGTTGGGGAATCTGGGGCACACTTTGTTGACAAGATTCTTCAATACCTGTAGTGTAATGCAGCAAAAATTACACAACTTCTAGTGTATGGGAGGCAGAATGACATTTTTTCAAGCCTTGATCAAATCCTTTTTATGCTTTTCCATGTTTCATTCATTCCTTCAATTAAACACCCATCTAATTAATTTATCTGCCACACAAATCAAACCTTTACTCTATCATCTCTATTCTTTTTACCCAGAATCATGTGTTGTTCCTTTTCAAGTTTGGTATCTTATTTTGGCTGTGTGCCCCATTTCAAACTTTTACCTAGGTATGACACAGTCTTGTGTCAAAGTTCCTGGTTTGGAGCACCAGGAAATATCTGAGGGCAGTAGGTGTCAGGTGACATGAAGTGACATATGTTACAACTCCATTGTTACTCTGGTGCTTGTCTGCTCAAATGACAATTTGCCCTTTGTGGTCATCAGGGAGTCCCAACCCTTTGACTTTGAAGTAATACTGGAATAAAGGCAGGAGTTAGCTTCATGTCACCTGACATGTACTGACCTCAAATTTTTCATGGTGGAGACAGTTCAGGACTGCATCAAACCTTTATTATTCTGAAGGGGGCATCAATTATGGAAGCTTTGCTAGACCTCTGTTGTGTGTAAAAGTCCGTAGGCAGTGCTCTGACCTGCATGCATCCATCAATTTTCTGTCAACAAACATTGGACAACAGACTTAACTGATTACTGCTCCTTACAATAACAGACTGTATCCAAAATTGGAATACAACTTAGAAGTTGTGAAAGCCATTTCTTGCATGTATTTTTACTTATAAAATAGAAGCTCAGCTAAAGTAAATCTCTGTTTTTCTGCTAATGTATCCGAGATTGGAATACAAATAGAATTTGTGAAATCCATTTCTTGTATTTATTTTTTCTTGTAAAATAGAAGCTCAGCTAAAGTAAATCTCTGCTTTTTTACTAATGTATCCAAGATTGGAGCACACATATAGGTTTTGCAAGCCTGTGAATTTCTTAACTTATAAAATAGAAGCTCAGCTCAAGTACATCTTGAGGGTGATTTAAATTTATTGAAGGCTATCTTCAATCAATGTATCAGTAGTACTAGATCTCATGGACAATAAGTTTTATTGGAAATGCTTCTCATGATCCAGTCTGGTTTGATTTTTTGATCCCTGAATGAAATTTCAGAAGGCAGAGAAGATTCAAAAACTACGATTGCCTTCAAGTTCACCACCTCCCCCACCACAAACGGCACCTCCGCCAGTAACCTGACCGCCAAGATCACCTCTGGGGCTTTTTGGTTTCGGGGGCTTAAAACAACCGCACTCGCTTGTGACACCTTTACATTCGTCTTTTTGCTTTGGAATTCCAGAAAGGTGACCTTGGTTTAAGTGGCCAGAAATGTGAGGATTGGTGCATGATCATGAGCCAAAGACTTCTTGAAATACTCTGCACAGAGAATCAAGACAGAGACTCACGAGTTGGTTCAACCGAATCGGATAACGATAACCCTTGATTACAGAGAGACAAGAAGGCCACAAAACACAAAGCTAATGAGACTTGCATTGTTAAAGATGGAATACTAAAATGTGATTCTAATTTTTCAGTAAACGGCTGTGATGAAGGTTGCTCACAGCTGATTTTGGGAAACAAACTCCATTCTTGCCACCGCTTATATAGCCACTTATCGCTAGGCCATGCATGCCTGGGAAAGAATCTGAGGCTGCTTTAGGTTCATTTTTGCTATGATAGAGGAAGCTGGTCAAATGATTCTGAAACTTGTGTAGAATTAGGTTATTTTTTAAGGGCCGCGTTTTCATATGAATGATCTAGCTGCCCTGCAAAAAACGCAATATAAGGTAAATCAATAAGTAGGCAATTCTTGTTCATGTATTATCTCCACTCTTCCAGCAAGTTTTTCCGCTGGTTTGTATGCATTGGGCCCTTTTTTTGAATTTTTTGAATTGATAATGTTTCATCTATCTCTTAAAATTCCCTTGCCTTCATGTTGAGCAAAATTCTTCTCAAAAACTTTGTTGTAGGAATTCCATTGTTTATCTCAATATTTCTTATCTTTACTCTAGTCTCAAGTGTGACCAAGAAATTTTCTTGCATCTAAGAATCTCATTTTATCTCAGGCATATGTTCTAAACTTCTTCCTGTCAACCTAAATTAAACTTTGTATCAAAAAGTTTTGTTCATTATGTTATGATCCCCATATACAAGTATGGGTGTTCATGGAAAAGAATAGGGGAGTTCATCCTTAACTCTAGATAACCATATATCAAAAAAGCTTGCTCATTTGCAGAAAATTTACTTTTCAGGGCAGGGATAGACTGAATCATTTCAGTATTTGGGGTTCATGAATAATTATTGTAAGAAACATACAGAGAATTTTAATTTCCTTCAATGCACATGGCATCCAGTTGAAAAACTCTTAATCATGCCCAACCAGATTCAAGCATGTGATGATAAAAGCAGCCTGAAATGTATCTGGTGATTAGAAATTATTTTACAGATCTGTTACTTTTCTGTATTATCATGTGAGAAGTGTAAAGCTGATCTCAAAAATGATCATATTTGGGCCTTGTTTCAGATCTGCTGTTATCAAATCCAGAGTGATCATGTTTGAGAGTTCAAAAATTTCAGGGGGCCCCTCTGACTCTACTCAGCATTTCCTAAATAGCTTCTTCCATGGGGCTTGCAGACAGTCCAATACAGCCTGCAGCAGTATTTTCATTTGAAAAAAAAGGCCTCAAACACTTCTTGACATTGGGTCTGTGGCTCTGTGCTTTAAAGTTTAGGCTGTGGTCCCAGCCCTGCATGTCAAGCCATACAGACTCCTCCCCAAATCCTGCATAGTCTCTTTAAGATGGAAAAAGTGAAATATTCATGGTTTCATTTGACAAAGCGTAGGCTCAGTAAGTTTTGATATTTCTAAAAAATTATAACATGTTGAGCAACATATCAGCAGGGTTCATTATTGAAATTTATAGATTTTCAGATGTTTCACACATAGTTTATCATGTCTTGCCAACACCATTTCCTCATGTGTTGAACAGATACAGCAAGTTTGCCAATTTGCCATCCAGTGTGAAGAGAAATTAGAATGAAAATTGTAATCCTACAGCCCTCTGTGCTGTACTCCTGTATAAGCATATGCTTGTAAACAGTCTGTTTCCCATCTCGCCTGGCTGGGGGTTGAGACCGGGAGCAGTCGAAGCCAGCCGAGGGAGCAAAAAATTACATCCAGGCCAGCACCACCACTACAGCACCACCACTGCTTATCATCAAAACACCCTCAAGCCGGGACACCAACCGAACTCAGCATTTTCAAGCTAATATCACCAGGAACCACCACCATTAGCACGATTGTAAGTGAACATGGCACGTAGGGATATCAGGGTAGTAGTTTGTGGAGACGATGGGGTTGGAAAGAGGTACGCCAATTGGATCTTACATGCTCTACTATTCTCTTTGATTTTCATGTTTTGGCTAATTGGAACCTGTCTAACTATTTATGTAGTACAATTATCACCTCATTGATCAAAGAGCGCTTTTACGACCTACCACCGGGACTAGTCTTGCCAGAAGTCTCGATTCCACCCGAAGTGACTCCGGATATTACAACCCATCTAATCGATACCTCCTGTAAATTATCCTCCTTCGAGAAGAATCAATTAGCTATCAGAACAGAGAGCTGAAACATCCATTTTTCTCGAATGACCCCCGAACCGCTACAGCCCGCCCAGAAGATCGTTATCACCTGGAATCTGAGATCAGGAAGGCCCATGTCGTGGTCATCATCTACTCCGTTGAGGCACCAGTATCGTTCGACAGGATTACAACTTATTGGCTTCCAACTATCCGATCGTTGGGTGTGAATGTGTAGGTACATAACCAATTTCAATTCTTGCCCTCATTCATAGAGAGATTTTTTTAGAGGAAACTCTGTCTGATTAACCATCCAACACCTCTTTTCATGTTCCTTCCTGCAATTTCAGACCGGTCATTCTCGTGGGTAATAAACTTGATCTGAGGGGCGGTAATGATGTCTCGAATGAGGCCTTCCAATCAGGTTAGTGTGGTCTCATCCGATCAACACTCGGTCCGTTTGGAAGCTCAACTTTACCTTTCCTTTGCAGAGCTGGCGCCACTTATGAGGGAATTCAAAGAAGTCGAAACTTGTATAGAATGCAGTGCCCTGGCTTCAGTTGTAAATCATTATCCCCAACACTTCCTTCAATATCTCCATCAAATGTGCTAACCTGTTTTTGGTCTTTGCTATAAATTAGAACATTAGCGAAACCTTCTATCTTGCCCAAAATGCAGTCCTTCATCCCACCGCACCCCTATACGACTCCCGAGAACATGTACTAGCCTCCCTCAAACTCTTCCACTCCTCGATGTTCTCACTGACGTTCAGCTTCCTTTCTTGCAATCAAATGGCTTTTCAAGATCATGAAACCTGCCTGTGTCGATGCCCTCACTCGGATATTCAAGCTTAGCGACACAAACAAAGATCAAGTATTAGACGACGAAGAACTGCACGAATTTCAGGTATGTGGTCTTGCAATCATCCCGCCCGCATGATTAATTAATGATGTATCTGATTCTATCATTTTTTTTCTCATAAATTCAATTATCACGATTGCAGAGAAAATGTTTTGGAGTGCCGCTTCAATCAAAAGAACTAACAACCATCAAGACTGATGTTCTCAAGAGAAATCCTACATTTGTCACGAGTGAGGGGCATATCACCGAGGAGGGCTTTTTATTCCTTCATACATGCTTTATTCAAAAAGGGAGAATGGAGACGGTATGGGGCGTACTCAGAGCGTTCGGCTATGGTGACGATTTGAGCCTGTGTGAAGCATTTCTCTCTCCGAGGTTCGTTGGCCGAGAAGTGCTACTTTCTGTGGAACCCTTTCTCTGGATTACTGACTTGATCGGTTCTAATTCAGATTTGATGTCCCGGTGGATTGTTCAGCCGAGCTCAGCCCATCGGGATATACCTTTTTTACAGATTTATTCGAGGCGTTTGACAAGGTGGGTCCAAGCTACTTTGGGTATTCAACGGGTCCTTTCTCTTACTTTCGCACTTTGCATTTCAGGACTTGGACGGTGCACTTAATCATGAGGAATTAACCAATCTCTTCTGCACATCTCCCGGCAATCCATGGCTCAACCATGGTTTTCCCGATACGACAGTGACTAATGACGCTGGTGCGGTCACACTGCAGGGATGGCTAGCTCAATGGAGGTAAATGCCTTCACTTTGCTGGCCACGTTTTGACTGTTGATCTGAAGTGTCGCCATCTTAGCATGACCACCTTACTAGATCCACGTGTCACCTTGGCCTACCTTGCCTACCTGGGCTACCCGTCTCCAACCACGACTGCATTGACCGTCACCAAACCCAGGAAGGCTGAACGGAAAAAGAAAAATAAGGTTAATCGTACCACCTATCTCATTTACGTCTTCGGTGCTGTAGGCTCTGGGAAAAGCTCGATCTGTCGTAACTTGGCGGGAAAACGTTACATAGAGGAAAGCACCCATTCTGGTAGTCTTACCGTTGTGAACAGTGTAGAATATAAAGGAGCGGAAAAATATTTGGTCGTGAGTTAAACATCATGTCTGAATAAATTTCATTAGATATGTCCAAAGCAACGTTGGCTGAATACTCATGTTTGCTTTGGATTGGCGTGGTAATAGGTTCAAGAATTTGCAGCTTGGGAATCGAGTCAAGTTCTGAGGAATTCTAAGAAACTGGGGATGGCAGATGTCTTGGTGTTTGTTTATGACAGCTCAGACACCAATTCATTTTCTTATATCAGTAATCTAAGAGTCAGTTCTATTCTACCTAGTCGCATAAACATCTGGATTATTGAAATCAAGTCAAAATCAAGCAGTTTTGTTAGTATGTTTTTGTGCCAACCCAAACTGATATTTGCATACCTCTCACTATTCAGCAACAATTCAAAGTCGACCATGTGCCTACTCTCTTTGTGGCAAGCAAAGCTGACCTGGATCTTGCCCAACAAGTTGAGCGCGACCCGGTCCAACTAGCAATCTGATGTCCACTCACCGTTCGGCGTTACTTTCTTTTCTTTAGAGACATGAAGTTCAGCCAGACGTTTATTGTCGAAAATTGAGCTTGCGCGTCCCGGTTGCTGTCAGTATGAAGACCGATCAAAATGCGGACCTGTGGCCGATCATATGCGACATTGCGACGAACCCGTTCGTAGATTCCCTGTTTTCATTTCTATTATTCTATCGACCCGCGTCTATATCTGGGCTGCTCCTAGCATCGCAGGATGTGCGCGTATTTGTTCTAACGTTGGATTGGTGATGCTTAGGAACTCGTCGATCCCGGGAGGGGCTGAGAAGCCGGTGGATCGATTGACGTTGTATCTGTCGATCGGCGGTCTGATCGGCGCCGGCTCTGCGCTAGTCTATGTGGCCTACAAGCAGTGGCAGAAACCTTCTGGTGGTTGGCTCTCTTGGCTAACGACTACGACCGCTAACGTCGCTGACTTGCCTCGAAGAGACTTGTAACAAAATCAAATCAAGCTTTCTACCACATATATTCAGTTATTTATCTATCTATTTCTTTACTAGTAATCCTGCTTTCATCTCACCTTTCTTTTGACAGTTTTTTGTTCTGGTGTAAGTATTTCGATGCTTTTGTTGAAGCAAGAAGGGTTGGTTTTTATTCTCTTGTTATAGTATATATACCACATTGACCTAGTGGAAGTGTCTATTGTCGCTGTTTGTACCGAGATTCACTGTCGCCGTCATCAACCGGCCTCAATAGCTCAGTGGTAGAGCGTTCCACTCGTACAGCTCCGGTTCCGCTCCTCGGCTCGGGAATTCGCACATGGAAAGGTCTGGTGTTCAATCCACCATTGAGGCATTCCTTTTTGCATTCCATGCCTTCCTTACCAGTCTGATTTGGTGTTTTGTTGTTGGGTGGGCGGAGGAAGAAAGTCTTATATCGGAAAGATAAAAAAAAACTGAGAGCAAAGTGGGGTGAGATTTTGGACTTGAGTTGCTCAAGTATGTTCCTCGAATGGAGAATGTGTACACCATGATCATCATCATTTTTCTTTGACATTGAGCTCAGACATCTGCGTATCGATTTCTCCTGATTGGAAAATGCAAGGAGGATATAGACTTGTGGGAAATGTGTGAAGTGCAAAGCAGGTACCTCTCTGCCTGCCTCTAACTTCTTCATCTTGGTATGGGTGAGGAGTTTTTTATTGTTTATGGAGGGGAAAAAATCTCGCAGTCTCTGCAAGGGTCATGGGATTTTCACAGAATTTGGTGCAATAATGGAGGTGTAAACACACTAAGAACCTTGGTGTAAATTGATGTATTGAGAGGGAAAGAAGAAGAAAAACAAAGAAAAGTTCTCACGGCAAGGCGGAAGAAAGAGGAATGGGGACGGAGAAAAGAGTGTGATTCAAGATGTTAATTGATTACTGGAAGGGCCGGTGAGCCGGAACCACGACTGTTTATCAACAGCAAAGCCCGAAAGGAATTCGATCTCGACTGGATTTAAATTCTTCTTGGAAGGATCGTCTCCGAGAATGATCAACGAATGCAACGGTCCTCCGAACTCCTCGGGCTCTAACTTGGCAAGCTCCGCCATGCTCCCGACCAGGAATTTTTCAGTCTTAGAAGTCACCCTACATGCCGCTATACATAGGATTTGGGCGGGATCGGTCAGCCTGTTCGTGTATCTCTCCTCTGAATCCTCCTCCTCTGAATCCTTGTCTTCTTGCTTGAATTCTTCTATGATTGATATGATTTGTTCGATTGCTGTTGTGATGGTCATGTAGCGTGGCTTTTCATAAATCTTTCGACCCCTAGTATGTTCAATAATAATAAAGAAGGTTTAGTTCCAATTCCCGACATTTGTGAGCGACTTTGAGCAAAATAAAGAGCTGCAAGAAATCGAACGAGTGACCAACCTAGCCAAATTCTCATCGGATTGCTCTTTGACTTTAATATCGAGGAGACACAAAGTATGAAGACCCAGGTTGAAATTTTGGTTGATTTTCTTGAACCAGCTTTTGGGTCTCCAGTTCGAATTGAAGAAGGGGATCGAGACGGTTTGGCCAAAGTGGTATAGATTAATCCCGATCGAGCCGATCGCATTCAGGATTGATACGTTGTGTATGACTCGGTATTTGATCCCCTTTTTCGTGCATCTCAATAATAAATCTGCATGTGTCGTTGCTCTTTTTTTGGGGGGGAGGGGGAATTAACAAGTATGGTCATGGAAGGTTAGTTCGATTGGCTATTTCAGTTTTTTTTAAGGAATGGATTAATTCGAAGAGGTGATAGAAACAAAAAAAACAGCCATCCAAGAGCAAACATATATGACTTACCCGAATGGATCACCCACAACTAACAGAGAAACATCCTCCTCGGCGGCCTGGTCCAAAATTTCGTCCGATCGTGTTTCGATGAAATCTCTATCGGCCAAGATGATATCTTTACCATAAAGGGCTTGCTACACCGAAGATACAACATCAATTTTAAATCCCAGCCCGATCCGCATACAAGATAGAGAAGACGAATATCAATTCGTCAGTTAAAGATCATCCGGAAAGCGCTAGAGTTGAACGGGAAACCTCTCCTTGACTACTCACCAAATCTTCCAGTTGCGAATCAATCAATATGCTCGTATAACCTTCCAAATAAACCTTCTTGCTGTCTTGGATCGTTTTCAGTCCGCTCAGAGTGATATCCTCTGGCGAGGACATCCCTATACCGATCAGATAGAACATGCTTTCCTTGTTGTGGGGGTTCAGGTATATGTCAACACGAAGAAATTTTGGATTTTATATTTTATGAACATAGAATGGAGATACATACACGAGGACAAACCTCCGGTTCTAATTTATCCCAATCTGGTGTAACCCCCTCTTTTGTGGTTACGGATTCATCTGCTCTGGTTCACCTTCATGGCTCAGCACTTCACATCCACACAAAGTTCAAACCCATCATCCCTCCTGTTGGGATTGATTGAATCACCTTTTGGTCACTGAATTGTTTGTTGATATCACATATCCTTGTTCTTGCTTCATTCAGGTCATCGCAGCCGGCTCAGAATATCGTGGGGATAAACGTTCTAGAATACTTCAAAAAGAGGGGCTTCACACATATACATAGACATTGGTTCTCAGCAGCCGATCAAGCCTTTGAATTGTTCACAAATGTTCTGATGTTAGCATCAGTTCAATTCCATGTCTTGATATTTGTTTTGATTTGGTTTGTTGGTTCCATGTCTTGATATTTGTTTTGATTTGGTTTGTTGGAACTTGATATCGATTGACGTTTGAAAACTGGTTATTCGTTGCCATTTTTTGAACCGCGGAGGGTTAGAATACATTCAAGGATGTTGATCCTATATGGGCTGGACGTACGCTTTGTTTTTTCCTCTATGTTCTGGGGAGTATGGACGCCGTTAGACACCAGCATGAGTCATCCAAAGATCAGGTCTGTGATGACTTGAGTTTGATCCATATGGTGTGTTTGTATGTGTGGTGGTGGTGATGGCGGCTTTCAGAGGAGCGATCAGTATATAAACCAGGCCTCTTGGCCCTCCCCCCCCCCCCTCGCTGCTCAACCATCCACCCCCACTCCCAGCCTGCTCGGATTCTTCATCATGGGTGATAATGATGATCACCCTCGCTCGGTTGATGCCGAGGATAGCTCGGTTGATGTGAAGGAATCGTTGAAGATACCGCGACTCTATCAGGCCGAGCTTTTGGAGGAAGCCAAGAAGCGCAACATCATCATCCGGGCCGACACCGGGACCGGCAAGACTCTCGTGGCCCTTCACCTGATCGTCTGGACGGCCGCCCAGACGGAATCAGCCCCGAATGGCCATCAGATCCAGGCCTTCCTCGTCCCTACTCGTCCGCTCGTTCACCAACAGGCCGAGTACATCCAGAGCCAATCCACCCTCCGCGTCAAAGCCTACGCTGGCGACCTTCCAGCAGACTTATGGAACGTCGACAAATGGCGCTCGGGATTGAAGGAGGTCGACGTCATCGTCTCAACTGCCCAGGTATCCTATACATCTCACTCTATCATTCAAAACTTAAACACCCTCCTCGTGCAACCTTCTGACCTTTGACTCGTTTTAGATTTTCCACGATTTGATCTCGAAAGGATTTTGGAAATTTGAGGATGTATGCTATATGAGTTTCCTCATCTTTCTCTTTCCACCCTCTCTGGCAGAAATTGTTCCTAACCTACCAACGGGATCTGTTGCAGATATCTCTTTTGATCTTCGATGAGGCGCATCATTGTCGTAAAGACCACGTGTATAATCAAATAATGTGAGCATATGGGCTGGATCATGCGCTGGACGATAGTGATACCAACTCAACATTTGCGGCGAAATCAATCAGGCGGAGTCATTATCATCGTCTGGCCAAAGATCCTGCACAGCGTCTACCTAAAATTCTAGGATTGACAGCGTCGCCGATCTGGAATTATAAGGATTTGGAAAGGGCAGAAAAAGATATCAAGTTCGTGGTCTCTTGTTTCGTTTGTTTTTGATTAATCTCGTCACTCAAATTGAAACCCCTCTCGTTTGAACTTCAATAGAGATCTTCAATGCTCTCTTGCAGCTCAAATTTGTGAGGTCAAGAGACACACCGAAGATGTTTCCCAGCACAACTTTAAGCCCAACGAACGGGCTGTATACTTCGACCCCTCTCCTGCTTTTCAAAAGCTCTCACATCCTCCCTGGGAGCAGATTAACGATCTACTCACCAAGCATGCCAGCCTCAAGCTGATCACCACTTTTGAATCGGTCTTTTTGGTCCGTTTTCTCTTCTCTCTCTACTTTGAACCTAAGTTTTCTAGACGTGAAGACGCGTCAGCTCATCACGGGTCTGTCGCCATTCGAACAGGAGTTAGGAAATTACGCGTACTCTTTATCCATCCTTGACTGGCTCAAATCCCTCTTGGTCGTCGGCGGCCCCAACCAACTGATGTCCGGGCGTCTGTTGGATCCAAATCACCAACAAAAAGTTAAACAAGTTACTAATCAACTTGAAGAGCTTTTGAGCATCAATGATATTCCTGAAAATCAACTTTCGTCCAAGGTAATCGCTTTGAACAAGCTCCTGGTCAAATACAAAGAGGAGGATGGCCGCGACGACTTTCTCTGTATTGTGTTTGTCGAGCGCCGACAACACACCCAACTGCTGTTCGCTCTGTTGGAGCGCAATACCCAACTGAAAGGTTTTATCCGTCCTGGAGCCTTGGCCGGACACGGTGGGGGCAACGAGAATGACCTGCTTGGAATCAAAATGGACTCAAGAGCGGTTGGTACTTGCTCTACCCTGCCTTCTTTTCTGTAGTGATCAACTCTTCTATGTTTTTGTTCATCCGTTCCATTCACTTCCTTCTCATAGCAAAACAAGACTGTTGCAAAATTTAGGACGGGTGAACATAATCTAACTATTGCAACCAGTGTGGCCGAGTAAGTACCGGCCTCAAAAGCGCTCTGTCTGGAGCTGATCTCATTCGATATGTTCTTCAGGGAAGGTCTGGACTTCCGCTCTTGCAGAGTTGTCATTCGATTCGATCAAATCACCACCTGGAAAGGGTATGTATCTTTACTACCACCTTCTTTTCTGCTATTAGTCATGCCCGCACCATACTCATCGAAAATTTTCTCCCCTCTCGCATCCATTTTGGCAGGTACATTCAATCTCGTGGTCGGGCTCGAGCGCGCAATTCCGACTATATCGTCATGCTTCCAACTGACTCCTCGAGTAAATATTTGGCGTTTAGTGGGAAAGAGTAATGTCTTTGAAGATGTATCAAATCCAAAGCTCTAATTATAAAGAGTCCTTCATTTGATGTGCCTCTTCATCTACGTTTTTTTTCTATAGGGATGAACTCAAAGCCGCACTCTATGACCGTCCCGATAATGAGCTCATTGGAGGTGGCGCAGTTGAACCGACTCCTCAATTAATTTGCCGACTTGCCGATGGAAATGATTCGATCTTGACTTACGGTTCCGCCCCTGGTCTTTTGAATGACGTCTGTCAACTGATTCCGCAAGATGAATTTCTTCCGGTCCTTGCGCCAGAGTATGAGATCATGTGTTTAGGGGAAAGTTTCAAATCTCAAGTTACGCTTCCCCCCATGGCAGCTCTCCCTTCTTCTCAGCGTACTTTTATGGGACTCGAGATGTCGACGAAAAAGGAGGCCAAACGTTCCGCTGCCTTCGAAGCCTGCAAAGTCTTACGAGAGCTGGGTGTACTCAACGAACATTTCTTACCCCATAGAGAAGATAAGACCGGTCAGGCTCGTGACGCGGATGGTAGAAAAAATCGACACCACTGCACTATCAGATCAGGTCCAAGCCATCATTCCAAACGTTTACGGTGATTTTCGGACCTCACAAGAAGTCTGGCTCCACGAAATATCTTTCCCGGATGAAAGTCCCGCGGGATTCTCTACGATGGGTTTCCTATGTGCTCAACATGTAGACATTTCGGAGGGCTTGCACTTATATGATCACTACCAAGATAGCAGAACTCTGCCCGTCAAGATCAAACGGAGTCGCAGGATGACATGGGCTCAGGATGATTTATCGATCAACCTGCAAAGATTGGAGACCTTTACTCGATTGGTTATCCAAGTTGCCGTAAACCGCAAGTCGTACGAAGGAAGACTGTTATTCCTTGTTGCTCCTCTTCTCAACGATACATGCGAGATCGATTGGAATCTGGTGGAAACTCCGCTGATTCCACTTTCCAACCACGCAGACAGCTTACGTTACCAATGTACAATCGTCCCGATTCCCCACCTCCATTGCAGAATATTCGACACCTGCGAACCGTCTGGTGACCTGTCTTTTGCCTCCAAGCCTCATCACGTTCCTGCTGGTCAACACATGGGTGACTTTTGTAAAAAGATATCGAAATTCCGCAACCTCGGTCACTTTTATGCAGTCGTTTACAATCTGAAGCCAGAACAGTTCAAGGGGAAATTAGTTTATCTCCAAAGTACCTTTGAGGTCTTGGATAATTTGTCAAAGTCCGAATCATTGTTGACACAGCCTTACCGTCTCTTGTTACCATTAAAGCTCTGCCAAGGATCACGCATCCCTCGATCGCTTTGGAAAGTATTTAGCTACTTGCCATCCTTGACTCGCCTCTTGCATGATGCACTCCAAGCAAAATTTCTCTTCAAACGACTAGATTTCCCCGCAATCTCACTTCCCCATGGAATTCATGCACTCACGCCGCCTGGTGTCGGAGTTCCTTGGGACTATCAAACTCTTGAGACCGTTGGAGATGCATTTCTCAAGTTGGCCACATCGGTTCACGTGTATATCAGTCATCTCAGGAAGGGTGAAGGTGACATGAGTCATGTACGAGCCAGGTCGATCGACAACGCCTACTTGCGAAGGAAAGCTGTTCAGGCTAATCTGCCCGGCTCTATCCTCAGCCAACGCTTCCGCACAGGCAAATTCAGAGACGCTCAAACGGAAGAAGGCAAAGAGTTGGCCAACGGTAATTTCTCGAGAAAGATCCCTAGGCGCGTTTTGTCCGATGTCGTTGAGGCTCTCCTGGGCGCTGGGTTGCTTACTGGAGGTATTGAACTTGGGCTGAAAGTTGGAACGGCTCTCGATCTTTGCTTTGGGGGCATTTCACCCTGGAGCCAACGCACGCTAACTATCAGTTTCGGAAAGGATGCCCATGATAAGCTTGATCCATCAATGCTTCTCACATGCGAACAGATCGAGCGAAAGATCAACTACGTGTTCAAAGAGAAATTATTCCTCGTCCAAGCTTTAACTCACCGTAGTGCGAACTCATTCTTGACTAACTGTTACGAGAGGGAGGAGTGGCTAGGAGATGCAGTGATCGACATGTGGATCGTCGAGCACGCCTACAAGCGCTTCGATAACGCCACCGCAGATGAACTGAGTCTCGCCCGAGCAAAGGTGGCTTGCAATGGTAGTCTAGGTTTCTTGGCGATCAAAAAACTAGGTCTACATGAGTTCATCATGCACAAGTCTGACAATTTCCATCAGGCGTGCGCGGAGGCGATAGAAGCCATCGAGCCATTTACGAAGATCTCGGAGTTTTTTTCAAATATCAATAACCTCTTTGTGGTCTTCGATCCGCCTAAGATCTTGAATGATGCCTTGGAAGCTATCGTCGGCGCGGTGTTCGTTGATAGCGGCTTGAACCTACCAACCGCATATCGAGTCCTGGATGTCATATTTGAGGATGTAACCCCAAGCTTATCTCGACTAGCTGCTCGGGATCCTGTGTCGACACTATTGAGACTCCGTGATCGGTATCAATGCACCGAACTGCTCAGAACAACGTGAGTATCTGAGCTGGATCTCATTTTCAAACAGTGATTAAATGAAAGATTTCAACTGGTTGATCATGCATCTTTTTCTTTTCTCTTACTTTGTCTGTTTCCAATCAAAAAAGAACTACCATCAACGAGCCCAATCCCGAAGGAGAGGAGAAAACGCCGGTCTCGGTCAGGGTCTGTCGCATCGAATTCCATGGCCAACAGATCGGAATTGGCCGACACCAGAGCTCGACAAGCGTAGCCGAACAGAGAGCTTCACTGGAAGCGATCAAAGTCTTGCAGGAAAGTCTCCCATCATCCGAAAGCGCTACTCCAGATTCTTTGTGGTCCAAATGTCGATGCATGGCGTTGATCACCACCGCAAAAGCGGCGACGCCCAGCTCGACTAAAAAGAAGGTGAGTCTTCCTCACTTGTATATTTTAGTGATTCGATATATGTTCTGTCATTAATTGTGGTACTGATGATCCTAGTGATTCCAATTCCGCGTACTCGATCCCAATAACACGAAGAAGAAAGGGGCAACAGTTATCAAGAACTCCTCTGAAGCTCAAGAGAGCAAGGAAAATGTGTCCTCTGTCCATGTCGCGGAAGAAATATTGATGGAGATATGCTGTAGGACCATAAACTGTCAAACCTCAACATTAGACGCTTCCCCCAAGAGAAGAAAAGTCCACCACACATCCAAAAAAGCCCCTTGAGAGAGGGCGGAAATTTTCGCAGATTGGGACTCAGTCTGACATCCTAGTCGATTTGGTTATGTTGAGCGTTTCCCTTCTTCTGAATATGTACTCGATCTACCAACCTCATCAATTTTTTCATGCGAGCCATTTCTTTCTTGTATAATATACGAATGGTTGTATTCTAAGAATGATGTTATGGTAAACGTGACAAAAAAATCATTTTGGCAGATGATGTTTTGATCTTGATCCTCCTCCCAGCTGAATCATTCTGTTATATTGTATTACGTATCCTTGTAAACTATTCCTTGTCTACCCACCCTCCTGACCTTGTACTACCCTGCTTGTGTTTGTTGTTGATGTTGCTGTGCTCAAGGTGCTATTGTCTAGGAAATCAAATATCAACCTGTTTGCCTAAAGATGCTAGGAATCGGCCTATTTTCACCCGACATGATTGTTGACATTGCTAATAGAGTTTTAGCCATCATAAGAGATAAAATACAGGAGTAGAAACCGTCGAAATAGGAACAGTGACTTGTTGATACGAAATCGATTTCTTGAAACAACAAGTAAACATTTTGTTTGATTTTCACTGGAAATAGGATTTCATACATAGATTAAATATAACAAATGAACGATTGGGAAGGGTGACCGGCTTTGCGAAAAGAGGTGAGCCTTTGAGATTGGGGATAAGCAAACTTAGGACGTCTTAGGGTCGGATTGAGGGGGCCGGGCGCTCGTCTTTATCTGGATGAGTTCGCGCACCAATCCTGCATGTTCTTGTTTAGTTTCGATCGTGTTTTGCAGTTGATCAAGGCTCAGACCGAGGCCCAACACCTTACGATTCAGACAGCTTCGAGCAGACCCGATGGGCTATACATACAGACAAATTTTTCAAGCACAATAAAAAAATAATCAGATTCAGATTGAGGAGCAGGATTGAAAAGAGAAAAGATAAGGATTCAAATGATACCTGATCGATCAAGTAACCCGTCCCGACATCCAGCATTATCCGCGACGGATCCTTCAGTTTCCCGGGCACGTAAAGAGAGGCCGTTAAAGGAACGAGGATAGGTTCTTGCTTCTTTTGAATCACATCGATCGCTTCGATTCCGGAATTAAACTTGCCAATTGCGTTTTGCAACTGAGCAAATGAGTTGGTCAAGTGGATCAACTCCTACCAGGAACGAGTCGTCAGTAGTCGGTTACCATCATCGAGCCTCTATGATAATGAGCTCGGAGAAACATACCTGGTCGAGTTGTTCCTTGACGCTCGCCAACTGGCTAGCATCAAGGTCTTGGACATTCAGTGGACCCTGGGCTGACTGTGCCATGATGGAATTAGATGATCGGTTCAACAGCTTTTTATGTGAGCATATAGGGAAGTCGCTCATGAGGTTATAATTTGTGAGGAGGGCAGATATCACAGAGGCTGTCACCGGGAAGTCACGCGTTCCAGAGTCAACTCCAAAGTATCTACAAGACTAGTTTGGCTTGAGCTTGGATGCCCAGTGTGTTTGACATTATCTGCGGCGTCAAGTCCTTACTCGGCAGGGAATGTCCAGCCACCAGTACGCTGCAGTTGAAATTTTTAAGAGCCTCCTCTCAAAAGGTTTAACTGCAAGCAGGTCTATGTACAAACCTAGGAGATTTCTTCTTGCAAAACAAGAACAACCTGAATCAACTGATGAAGAAGAACCCTCCTTTGAAAACTGGTCAAACATTATCAAGTCTGGCCTCAGTCACCAATATGTCAAAGATGAAACCAGGCCTTCCCATTGATGAGCACTTGATTCAGACCTCAGGCTCTAAGACCTAAAGGCCAGAATTTATTTGATGAGGGAATTTAATTGACATCCAGTTCCTGTAACCAAATAAAATTTGAGAACTGGAGACCTTCCAGTCAAAATCTGTGGGCTCCACAGTTTTGATTTAGAGCCTTGAAAGCTAGATTTCCCTGTGAAAATCTAGACTTTTTGGGTCTAAATAATAAACTGGGAGGGCACCAGATCTGGAAGGAAGTCATCCACAAGCTTTCCAGGGGTCAAATTAAGCAATCAAGGATATTGTTAATCACCATGAAAAAAAAAGTGATGTCACTTGCTGACAGGGGGCATCATGAGTCTCATACCCAAACTCTGTTCAAGCTCAGGGTAAGAATGTACAAATTCAATTGCCACTAAACAATCACTGTGCAAAAATGTACTGGCTCAACAATTGGGTGAATTTATATGGAGAGTCCTGTATGTCACTTGCTAGTAAGATACATTACAGCTACCATAGTCAATGTATTCAAAATTGAATTGAATCACAAGTGGATGACTTTCCTGCTCTAATCATCCATAGTAAACGTATGCAATTACAAGACAGACTCCTTTTGCCAAACAGAATTCTCAGATTGGGAAAATGGCTTGCAGTTGATGGGCCATATGAAGTTCTGAATAGACCAAGGGAATATAATCCTGCAGATCACAAATTCAACAGCAACCTGAATTTTGAATCAAATTCACAAAGAGGATTTTTTAGTGATAATGTGGTGCATCAACAGCCATGAAAAATGACAAGAAGATCAACT